GTAAGGCACACAGCACCAACTTTTGACGCGATTACACATAACATCGGTTCGAATCCACCATCAGTTGAACTCGTGCTACTTTTTTTTCTCCCCATTACATATCAGATTGGAAATATATTTATTTTTAACAGGAAAGAAACATTTTTTAAAAATAATGCAAATGTGATATAAAGTCACAAGTGTCTCGTGGGTATTTAATAATGTTTAGCCTTATTATACGCGCCTGCCGCGCCTCCCTCTCTTCAAAAACTCTATTGCTCAGACAACTGTATTTCCTCTGAGCAAAAAAATCGCGATCACATATTAATATTATTATTATATTTAAATTGCCTTTCTTTCTTTAACTAAACAGAATGCTGTAATTGGTCAAGCGCGGAAACGTCAGTTTTGTAATAACCCGCACTAAACTGAGCGGACTTTATCTGTCATAGATCAAAAATGAGTGGACAAGTGGATTTAGCAAACGCGAGAGAAAGAGGAGAGGAGGCATCTTTATTGAGGCATTTTCCATACACACCTTCTTTAAACAGACCCGTGATCAGGAGAATGAGGGTACAGAAGAAGACGTTAACTTTAAAAGATGAGAAGCTAGCATTAACCAGGCGGAGGAGGCTAACGGCAGCGCAGCGCGGACTGGATTCATCGTGTGAGAGACAGACAGAAAGGGAGAGAGAGAGGGAGAGAGAGAGAAAGGCCAAGAAGAGGAGAGAGAGGGGAGAGAAGAGGTATAGTGTCTGTGATTTCGGATACTTTTAGGTTTATAATCAAGTTTTCATCACGAGAAGAGTAGAGAAAATACAGGGAGAGGAGAGAGAGAGAGTAAATCAGTGTTTGTATTATGAAAGACTCAGATTCATAGAACTCAGATTCATAGAACTGGATTGGAGAAGCATTGTGCGTTATATGCCATGGCAATAATATGCTTTATAAGTTTTTAAAAGCAATACACTAAAATACCCTTAAAAAAAAAAAAAATATATATATATATATATATATATATGTAGTTTTATTTGTATTTCTATTTAATGCTTTGAAAAATAATTTAAATCTTTGCAGACTATAAATACATATGTACTATATATCATTTATTTAAATATGTGGGCAACAAATTATAGATTAATTTTATTTAAAAATTATTATATTATTCTTATTTTTTAAATTCAACTATTGGGGTGCGGCCAGGTAGGGGGCCCTACAATACAATGTGCCCAGGGGCCCCTGAGTTCTTAATCCGGGCCTGCTTGTCACATTTGCTGTGCAAAAACAGTCCGAAGTTAAACATGTGCACTGTGAAGGTCTGTCTGTGTGAACTTTGTAGCAACATTGTGTGCACTCATTGTTGCAAAAAGGCTTGAATAACTTCCACAACAAATACATCAAATAATCATTGGGAAAGTTTTTACTGTAGTATTTCTCACAAATCTTACGTGAGATCTGCTTCCTTTATGTTTGTCACTGTGCTGTTTATTTGACGCAGCCGAGGGGCAGATTTAGGCATACTCTGTCAGGCACGTGGGTACGGTGGGTGGAGAGACCTAGCATTGTAGGCACAGGCCACAAAAACAGCTACAGTGTGTTCAGAGAAGAAAATTCCAATATTCAGAAAGATATAATAAATAATCTGATGGCTGTTTTGAGCTGAAACTTTACAGACACATTCTGGAGACACAAAAGACTTATCTTAAATATTTTTTTAAAAGGGGTAAAATAGGTGACCTAAATAGTTTTTTTTTTTTTTTTTTTGTGGTGATGAAAGAATGTGGTTTAATATTGTTGAGCAAAACTGCAAAACTGTTCACTTTTACAGGCTCTAATTTAGGTTAAGCAAACCAACTAAACAATTGCTGCTGTCTAAACAACTAAAGAACTGCCTCTGCAAATTGTATTTTTTAAACTGTAACGTTGAAATGGCGGTTTATTCCACTGTGGTGACACCTGATAAATCAGCGACTAAGCCAAAGGAAAGTGGAGATATACAGATAAGGTGCTAGTGTGTTTTTGGATGTTAAGTTTTTTAAAGAGCTTTTCCAAAATATCTGTGGTGACAGGTGATGTGGAATTATGTTTTTGAAAACTTAGAATTGGAGGACTTAACAAATCTCTGTAATTATTTTGCTGTGTTTTTTGGAAATTTGTTTGGCCACTCAAGTCATCCTACTAACTTTTAGAAAAGACATTATAAACAATGTCACTTCCGGACACCTTTTTGCTATTTTCTTGTAGCTTTTTGTGCTTTTAAGAAAATTTTGGAGCAAACAGAGCTTCTTTGGCTTTACCCATTGAGATGATTGACTGAGTGAGTTTGACTTGTGTGTTTCCATAGGCCTGTCAAACAGTAGGTCATGGTTGAGCAGTTTTCCTGTTCCTGGTCACCCAGAATAAATATCAAAGGGAAATGTTTCGCAAATCCATTCATAGTGGTGCCAGAACAGGGCCTGGTTTAGGCCTAAACTGTTTATTGTTTTTTATTATTATTGAGTTGTATTAAACGAAACACAATTTAAATATTTACTAAAAGGAAATACAAAAAAAATGCTTTGAAATGAATATTAATTGAGATCAATTTTATTTGCATCATTATTCACATCGTTTACAACATCTAAACAGGCTACACATCGCTTAAATCACTGAGTAAACAATACCTTTTTAGAAGAAGGACATTTGTGGACCTGTAAGGTGAATCGGTTTTTATTCAAGTCAGGCTATTAGACCGAAAATCTGATATGGGTCTCTTCCCCCTCTGTAATGTATGATGGTTGCTTTATTCGACGAATCTTTATATAAATTAGAGGCAGCACCGGAAGTTACACAGACAACGTTTCAGCTCTGCAGTAAACATTTTCTCCAGAAGAAAATTGGACATCCATCCTCCATCTCTCAACTTAATAAACGCTGCCCCATTGGCCAGGGAAACAAATTCGAAGGACACCTTGTAGACTCCTTCAGTAAAGTGGAAATAGCAGTAGTTAATGTGGATTCATCATGTCGTAGCTTATTTGGATCGTCGTGCCGAGTTACAGTAGTCTCTGTTGTGCCACATCTGTTTGAACCATGCACGACCACAAGATGGCGACATACACAAACAGACGCACGTCGACCATATGAAGCTTTTACTTGTTCCTCACAAACTGCATAATATATTATTCATTATATGTAAACAGTGTATGTATGTATAACACGTTATATCGATGCATAAAGCAACGGAAGTCTACCACCAACGTTTAAGCTTTCTACATTGTGCATGTGAGTAGCTATTTCTGAATTGTTCAAGGATTAAACTGGGAATAGAAACTTATAAAAACACGAAAGGCCAGAGAGATCAAATGCTATTTTTAAGGTTTGGAAAATAGGCAGTTTAAGTTATTTAGGACACTTTTATGTTTCCCTGTGTGTGTGTGTGTGTGTGTGTGTGTGTGTGTGTGTGTGTGTGTGTGTGTGTGTGTGTGTGTGTGTGTGTGTGATAGAGAGAGAGAGATTAAGACTTGAAAATTGTCAGTTTTTCTGGATTTTTTGGATTCATTAACGTTACTTGTTTATTAGATTCTTTCTCATTTTAAACCAAAAAAAAAAAAAACACTGTCATCATTGTAAGTTAAAACAGTGCTGTTGTGTTAACTTGGCATATGTCTAGAAACATTGCACGCATTGGTAACACTTTACAATAAGGTTCATTAGTTAATGCATTTACTAACATGAACTAATCATGAACAACACATGTACAGCATTTATTAATCATGATTGAACATTTACTAATGCATTATTAACATGCAAGGCCATGCTTGTTAACATTAGTTAATGCACCATGAGTTAACATTAACTAATAATGAACAACTGTATTTTCATTAACTAACGTTAACTAACATGAACAAATACAGTAGTAAATGTATTGTTCATTGTTTGTTCATGTTAGTAAATGCATTACTAAACATTTACTAATGAACCTTATTGTAAAGTGTGACCCACGCATTTGTTATTTCCCGACTGAAAAAAAAACACTTAAACCAGCCTAGGTTGTAGCTTGTAGCCCAGTTTTAGAGGGGTTTTGGCCATTTCCAGGTTGGGTTCGAGTATTCTAGCCTAGTCTTAGCTGGTCAGGCTGGGAGATGACAAGCTAGTACCAGCTTGACCAGCCTAGCCAGACTGGAAGCCCAGCCAAAACCAGCTATGGCCAGCTTAAAGCCGGATGGTCCAACTGATTCTAGCTGGTCATTTTCCAGCCTGACCAGCTAAGACCATGCTGGAAATGGCCAAAACCTCTCTAAAACCAGGCTGGTCGACCAGCTAAACCAGCCAACCGGCTTAGGTTGGTTAAAGCTATTTTTTAACAGGGTTTTTATTATTATTTTAACTAATGACTAAAATAACTAATAAACTTATGTAACTTTAACTTATTTTAACTTGGATAAAACAACAAATTTGTTTAGTCAAACTCATTCATTCATTTTTTTTTCGGCTTGGTCCCTTTATTAATCTTGGGTCGCCACAGTGGAAAGAACCGCTTATTTATTCAGCATATGTTTTACACAGCGGATGCCCTTCCAGCCGCAGCCCATCACTGGGAAACACCCATCCACTCTCATTTACACACATACATTACAGACAATTTAGTCTACCCAATTCATCTGAAGCACATGTCTTTGGACTGTGGGGGAAACCGGAGCACCCGGAGGAAACCCAAACAAACACGGGAAGAACATGCAAACCCCACACAGAAATGCCAACTGACCCAGCCGGGGCTTAAACCAGCGACCCTTCTTCTGTGAGGCGATCGTGCTACCCACTGCACCACCGTGACGCCTTATTTACACTCGGATATAAATAAATCATAAATCCAGAGAAAGTGAGTTTTTAGTTTTGTAAATGCTCTCTTCATTTATTCTCTCTCTCTCTCTCTCTCTCTCTCTCTCTCTCTCTCTCTCTCTATATATATATATATATATATATATATATATATATATATGTGTGTGTGTGTGTGTGTGTGTGCGTATAGGCTGTATAGACCTGTTGAAATGGAAGAAATTGCAAAACTGACTGCAGTAGAAAGCATCAGACGGAGCTGGAGGCCTCGGCGAGAGGACTGAGCTCATGTCCTTCTCTGGTTTGTGCTCTCTGCGTCCTTCTGCGCCTACTGAACGTTTGCAGGACTCCACGACTGGGCTCTGAAACCAATACACTTATTATGATTAAGAATAATAAAACAACAACACAGACACACACAAAGCATTGTTCAGGCTTTACTACCTCTCTGAACGTTAGCTGGAGAAGGGTCTTGTGTGCATTTCCCAGGATCCTCGTTAATTATTATACCCATGTTCCTGTTCCACTGGGTCCAGTTGACCTCCTCCACACTGAAAGCAAGAGGACAAGTTACAGTTCCTGCTTCACTTGTTTGTGACAGAAAACAGATCAACACAGGGTATGTGTGATTTATTATGTATTATGTTTATGTTTGCATATTAAAGGGATTCATTAATTAAAAATGAAAATGTACTCTCTAAATTCACCCTCAAGTGGTTCTAAACCTTAATGAGCTACTTTCTTCTGTTCAACACAAATGGAAACTGATAAATATTGACTTCCATAGTAGAAAAAAACAAATACTGTCAAAGTCAATGATTATAGGTCTTTTGCGTTTAACAGAAGAAAGAAAATCAAACAGGTTTGTGACCAGTGAGCAATGATGAAACAATTTTCACAAAAGTTTTGGGTGAACTATCCCTTTAATATTGTTTTTTTTTTATAGTGTACCTTCAGTTTTCATTCAGACTAAGGAGACACATTTAATATTATACTTGGTGAAAATCCTCAAATGTGAAGAGTTACACGGGTAGTTTTGGCAATGTCATTCATTCATTCATTCATTCATTTATTCATTCATTTTCCTTCAGCTTAATCCCCTTATTCATTAAGGGTCACCACAGCGGAATGAACCACCAACTTATCCAGCATATGTATTACACAGCAGATGTCCTTCTTGCTGCAACCCAGTATAGGAAAACATCCATATACACACAAAACACTCGGCCAGCTTCATTCATTCAATTCACCTATATATCGCGCATGTCTTTCGACTATGGGGGAAACCACGCCAACACAGGAAGAACTTGCAAACTCCACACAGTGGAGCTGGTGCTGTGAGGCGACAGTGCAAACCACTGAGCCACCCTGTGTTGTCTGCTAAAAATGTAATTTCTTGAATTTATTTTTTGTTTTGTAGGTTTTACAATGATTTTCACACAACATTATACAGAAGTATTTAGGCGTGAAAAAACATTTTGTGTAAGGTTAGATCTTTTATAGTTATTTATATTTACTACACAAAAAGAAGTGTTAAGTATAAGAAATTCTAAAGTACAGCAAAATGTGTGCGTTAAATGTGTTGTTACTTATCACTTTTATTATTTCTGCAATTACTTAATCCTAAGGATTGTATACATTAAGATTTTATTTTACATCAAGTGAGGAAAAATGAGTATTTATTGCATTATTTTAGTGTCATCAGGGTTACTATGCCTCTGGTTTTGTATTTGTGTGAATAAATAATATGTAATATTTATAGAAGTACCATTATCTGTTTTGCAATGTACTGACAATAACAATCACCTCATCTTGATAAGAAAACATATTTGTTGATGCTTGTTAATGTTAGTTAAAGGAAATCAACTAGCAATGAACAGCTTTGTTTATGTACTGTGCAACAACTAATGTTATTAATAATAATAATTCATTAGTAAATGTTGAATGAATATTAAACAATGCTTTATAAATTTAGTTTATTATTAGCTCATGTTAGGAAATACATTAACTAAAATAACTAGTGAAACCTTATTCTGAAGTGTTGACCAAAAATTATACATTATAAGCAGCGGTTGACAGAATAATTCTGTAAAGACAAAAGAAAAAGGAAATATATTTAGTAGATATATTATATATACTTAAATAGTTTAGTTATGATATAAAACTTTATTTGACACAAATATAAAGCATCATTTTGGTAATATCCAACATTAAATGCGTAAGATGTTATATAAATCTAATGGATAAAACTAGTAAGAAAAATGACAGTAAGACAAATGTTAAGTGTGTCCTTATGGACATTTTATCTTGTAGCTTTTTACGTACGATAGGATGGCTTCCTCCTTTTACTGTACACTACTTGACAAAAGTCTTGTTGCCTATCCAAGTTTTAGAAACAACAAATAACAACTTGACTTCTAGTTAATAATTTGTTATCAGAAGTGGCTGATATGAAAGGCGAAGGCCTCTAGATTACGCTTATTTTATCCAAAGAAATTATGATCATGCCTTGATTTTTAATTATTTAATTAGGACAGTAAGGTCTGACTTTGCTTAGACAAAAGTCTTGTCACTTAACAGAAATAATGTACAGTATACAATATAAAGTTATGGTGCAGTGGAAAAAGAATTAATATCAATGTATGACCCCCATGAGCTTGGAGAACTGCTTTCATACATTTTTGCAATGATTCAAATTACTTATTTATGAAGTCATCTGGAATGGCAAAGAAAGCATTCATGCAGGACGACCAGAGTTCATCAAGATTATTTGGATTCATCTACAATGTCATCTTACCCCTGACATGCTAAATAATGTTCATGTCTGGTGACTGGGGTGGCCAATCCTAAAGCACATTGACCTTCTTTGCTTTCAGGAACTTTTATGTGGAGGCTGAAGTATAAGGAGTGGTATCCTGCTGAAGAATTTGCCCTCTCCTGTGGTTTGTAATGTAATGGGCAGCATAAATCTCATTGATACCTCAGGCTGTTTATGTTGCCATCCACTCTGCAGATCTCTCACATGCCCTCATACTGAATTAACCCCAAATCATGATTTTTTTTTCTTTAAACTTGACTGATTTCTGTGAGAATCTTGGGCGGGTTCCAATAGGTCTTCTGCAGTATTTGTGTTCATTGGGATGCAGTTCAACAGATGATTCATTAAAAAAATCTACCTTCTGCCTCAATTGATCAACTAGAAGTCAAGTTTATTATTTTTTGCACTTACAACTGGGTTCAATGACTTTTGTCAGGTAGTGTAATAAATTTACATAAAATCTGCCTGTAAGAAATGGTAAGTGTAGTTACTGCTCTTTTGCTTTGGACAGCAGATATGTTAATGTCAAATACAAGCAGCCTTGTATTGTTGTCTTGTTGAAAGCACCAGCGTCACCTGAAGCACCAGCGACGATCAGGCTCTTGTCCTCCGCCGAGGTCCTTCTCTTCCCCTGAGCGCAGCTTTCCCTGCAGACACTTGGGAAGGATCCACTCCATGTCCAAGGTAGTGATTGCACGCTGTGAATAACAATTATCTTTTGCCAAACCATACTCTCTGAATCATTTTATGGATTTACATGTTCATTACAAAAACCTTTTGTAAATTTGACCAATAACTTCCAAAGATCTGTTTGTGCCGTCTTATTTTACCTGCAGTTTCCAGATGCTGGTGCTCTCCACGGACATCATCTCAACACTTTGGTTCATCAAAGCGATCAGCATGTTCAGCATCAGAATGTAAGTCATCACTATATACACAATCAGTAGCACGTAGAAGACCTCCTTATATTTATAATGATCGGTGAACTCCAGATCTCCCATGCCAATGGTGAACTTGAACAGCTCCAGAGTGGTGAAGTAGATGTTCTTGTACGAGGGCTTCTTGCAGACCTCATATTGGTTATCTGTAGTCAATCCAAATCGTCCCCTGCCGTCCCGGGCTGTGGTGGGTTGGTGGTGGGTCATACGACTTTGAGGGTTGGAGGAGTCTGGTGTGGGGTTCAGGGAAGGTATGTCTTCAGAGAGCCTAAAATCTCTAGTAGAGCCACTGTCGATCGATTCCTGGTCAAGGAGAGTCACCAAAGCTGCCGTGTAAAAAAAAAAGTCATTAACATACGCAAACAAATGTTTTGAGTCTGTAAGATTTCTTCATATATTAACATGAAATAATATTACTCAGGGTTTCCACAGCTAATAGGATTTAAAAGGTGCTTACCAGACTCTGAAAGTCAGGGAATGTTTATGTTGTTTTTCTATGTGAGGGAATATCAGGGATTTTTTGTGTCATGTTACATTTTAGTTTCCATTTATTAAAATGTTATTTTCTATACCGTATTTTTTATTGCAAAGTTTTTTGCATATTCCTATGGTAAGGATATTTTTCAGCTCCTTTTTATTCCTTTCGCGCTCATATACTGGCATACACATTCAGTCAACAGACTGTACCTGGTAACTAGGGACAGGATAATATAAATAATAAGTGCTTCGGTTTCTAAATGACCTCTTCAAAGATTGGATGTTGAAAGGTAGTTGGCAGAAAAGATAAATGTAAATGTTGTAAAACTACTGTCAAGATATCACATTTGGAAGAGGGAGCATTCACAGCCATGCAAACAGTGCTACTGCGCTGTACATGCACTGTAAAAGAAATTCTGGCTGCCTTCATATTTTTTTATTGTTGAATTAATTTAGCTTTTGTAGTCATCCAAAGCTTTCATCAATCTAATTGACTAATAAAATGTAATATAAACTAAGTAATAGTAATAAACTACTGAACTTTGTATAACCAATGAACAAAAATTTATTATTTACTATAATTATGATATTTTAAAAAGTTAAAGTAACTTAACATTTGTTGTCATGACTTTTTGTCATGTCATTTTTGTATAGTGTAGTGACTATTAAAGTAATCCAAATTGATATTCAAGTTGATTGCTTTTATACTTAGTAATTATTTAACATTATTATATAATAATGTTTTATAATAAATATTTGGAGTTAAAGTTAAAGTTAAACCGGATTACAATTTAAAATAAGTGCTAGTATTGCAAAATATGAAAAATATATGATTTATCCCCTCCCTGTGTTGGTGTGGATTGCTCCGCTGGAGATACTCCGGTGGAGATGCTCTGGTTTCCCACACAGTCCAAAGACATGTGGTACAGCTGAACTGAATAAGCTAAGTTGCCTGTAGTGTATGTGTGTGAATGCAAGAGTGTGTGGGTGTTTCCGAGTGTTAGGTTTGCGGCTGGAAGGGCATCCGCTGCTTAAAACATATGCTGGGTAAATTGGCGGTTCATTCTGCTGTGACGACCCCAGTTTAAAAAGGTGAATAAAATAAAATAAAGAGTGAAAATTAATGAAAGAATGAATATGATTAATCCATGTGATGACAAATTTTAACTTAACTCATCATTAGTCCATTGTTCAATGACATTAGTATAAGAAATAATGAGAACTGTTATTATTCAGCTATGCCTAGATATATCCAGATATTTATTCTATGGCACCTTTATTTTAATGTTGATAAACATTATGCTGCTCAATTTTATTTGCAAACCATGATTTTCAGGATTCTTTGATGAAAACAAATTTGTAAAGACTAGGAGTCTTCACTATTAATGAACTTAATGTATACTTGCTAAATAAATTTAAAGTCAATTAAGTGTAAAAATGTTTTGTTTTTAATGTTCAATCAAAGTCTGACTATCTGCTTCCATGTTTGGAGTGGTGGTCTTTCTGCTGACGTCAGTGGAGGGCTTCAGTAGCAACAGTATACTGATATTCTTAGCCACACCCCTGTTACCATTAGTTTGCTTTGAGGCACAGCTATGAGGGAATATTGTGAAAGAAAGCTCCGTCCCCTACTCATTATACCATTTCAATAAGCACATCAGCATACTAAAATCAAAGTCTCTGCAACTTCGGACTTTACACAAAATTTTCAACTGATATTTTGTTCCTAGATGAAGTGAAATCAAAATAAAAGTCAAATAACATTCATGAATATATGAAATGAAGGATGATACCTGCTGAGAATCCAATTAGAAACACCATGTACACAACAAGGAATCTGCGAATTTCTCCAAGAACCATCTGATAATAATTAAAGAGCGTAAGAGTGTATGCACAAGTAGGTTGTAAGACTACTTTACTGTACAAGGATGCTTTAAATATGTAGTCAAGTATACAGGAAAGGAAATGGCCTTACCTTCTGTATCATCACATTGTAGATTCCCAAATTTTTGGACCCCCTGGAGAAGTAGAGTAAGTTTATCCAGCTCAAGGCAAGACAGAGCACTAGAAAGGCCAGATATTCATACTGGCCATAACAGTACAGTACAACACTTGCCAAGAAGAGCAAGCCCTGCACAAAACTAATGCATAAAAAGAAAAATAGCATTATAAAACAATGCATGTACTTACTGATGACATTTTCTGTACTACAGATAAAGCAGACGGTGCAGTTTAGCTGGGTGCTGTGCATTTATAAGTTCAAAATAATCTGCACACATCCAACATCAAGGATCAAGCCATGAAACTAAAAACTTCATCAGGGCACAAATACAACTTAAATAAGAGTAGTTTTATTTCATTATCTTCATATATAGTACATAAAACTGTTTTCAAATTAAACATGCAGTTTAAATCAGTTGAATGATCAGCAAAGGACTCAATCATATTAATCTACAGTGGTCAATTAATGATGAAAATAAAAAATAGAGAGTAAAAGGACTCACAAAAGCTGATCTGTGTATCCATCTATAATCAGGGATTGAAATCTTGGACGCTTCCTTACCATATCTATTAACTTAAGAAACAGGAATTTATTAAAAAAATGTAATTATTGAAAGTTAATTATGAATTAGTTTTAAAGCAAGAGCGTCAGATACACACCCCTCTAATAAAGAAGTAAAATGCTCCAGTGATAGATATGATGTGTCCTGTCAGAAGCAGGTAGCCTTCCCTACTCTTTGCATAAAGATATGGAGGCTTTGTCTGAAAATAAGAAACAGTAGGGTTGAGACATGGCATTAAATAGTGAAAAAAAAAAAACATTTTACAGTTCATACACAACATAAGATTATAGATAGTGAACTGAAATAAGGTCAGTGAGTGTTATTAGTCATGATTTTTTCCTTGTAAGTTTTTTTTTTTTTTTTGGACAAAGTGTAGACCAAAGTTGGCCCATGGTAACCTTTGAGTTGAGTCCCCACATGGAAAGAGAGTAAGAATGATGATGAGGGCCTTTAACAGAGATTGTAATTTCTAATTTAACTTAACTTTTTTATTTCTTTGTTTATTTCCTGAGCTACAAAAAAATAAAAATAAAAAAAAAAATTCAATTAAATGCATTGTTAAATGAATCAGATTTTTAAAAATATAAATACTGTCACTTAACAGAGAGGACAATGCAGAAGACATTGGCGAGCAAATCAGGGCAAACAACCGGTGCAACTTAGTGTGTGTAACTCCATTCTGTTATAAATGGGATTTTTATCTACTGTAATAAGATTATTAATACATTTTTAAATATGTACTGCATTAGTTAATATAAAGCAATGTTTTCTAGTTATTTTTACATAACTAATAGCTTAGAAAAATCACCAATGGCAACTTTAATGTAATATAGTTTGGTATATTTACCTTTGGCCCACCACCCTCAATCAAGTTTGTTTTTTGGCCCTTCATAAGAAAAAGTTTGGGCACCCCTGATCTAGACATCCATTTTTAAGTCTTGCATGTGACATGACGCCTCTGCTATAAAGCTGAAATGAGTGAATGTTTAAAAGAGGCAGGATTAGGATGTTGCCCACCCTCCTTGAAGTCCCCTTCCTTCAACATGAAGGAATTGTGTGGAGCGCAGCATTTTTTTACAGTGCACCTACTTGATTCGCGTAATCCTTCCCTTCTTCGTGGTAAAAAGCTGAAGCAGTGAAGATGAAAAGGTAGATAACATAAACAATGAAGTTAAACAAGAACATCCGATGCGCAAATTGATCCCACTTCTCTTCTATTAGTCTGTTAAGTGGCTCAATTTGGAGCATCTCGAGGCGATTCTGAAATGTAATGGAAAAGCAAAAACAAACATATGTTGCTATCTCGATCTGTACAAATGCTTAGAAATTGAATGTTTACTTCAATGATTTGAAGTAGTAAAATATCTAACTAAAGTTAATTAGTATCAAACAAGCAGCATGAGAATCTCACAGGAATCTCACTGCCATAGACAACGATCTCGAGAGCGGAGTTTTTCTCATAGGTGTCGAGGGAGGAGAGGTCATACAAAGACGAGCACACTGGACCGTAGGCCCACTCCGTGATCTTTCGGGACAGATGTCTGCAGCCCATAAGCTCCCGCTGCACAATGTGCTTAAACAGCTAGTAAAAAAAAAAAACCAGAATGATTTTTTCAAACAACATATGCTTATTAATAATATTTTCAAACATTGGCTAAGACTTCAAATATAGTATAGTATGTGGTATATAATATGAATGTGAGTAGTATAATTCTTTTTTTACACTTTTAAACATCTGAATCACTTCCTGAAAGGCCCTTTCATGTGTCCATTAATTAAAGGAACATTACATGATGTGCCCTACACCCTTCAAAGCCCCTCATAGAGAGTAAGGTATAAGGAAGCTCGTTTCTATATATATTTTGCCCCAGACATACTTCATTCCACATATTGTCACTCACATCCATAAATTCTCTCTTTTGGCCTCAGGGGATAGTAAAGTGTCCATTAGATGCACGCTTTAGCATGTAGCAGGTCAACTGGAACCTTCTCAGATAATGTTTTTCAAATATGGTAAATTTAGAGGTACTACTCGGCTCACATACTGTTGCATCACATATTATTTAGCAGGTAAAATTCTGATTACTGTCAATCTGTGCGTGTGTGATTTCAGATGCAGCAAAATTTGTGATCTCAAGGTCACTAGTTGCAGTTCCTGTACTGGCAGGAATTTATGTCCAGCACTCTATTCCACTCTTAATACCATGACTAAGGTGAGGCACCAAAACTGAACCCCAGTGGTTGACACTGCACTAGGTGTGTGTTCATTACTTTATGCACACACTTGGATAAGGTTATATGCAAAGTACAAATTCAGAGTATGGGACAGTGTCATCAAAATGTTTGGTAGGTTTAGTTCAGGACTTTTAACACTTTATCAAAGATTTTTTGAAACCCCTATAGTAAAAATGTATCTGGAACAAGCTCTGCTGAAAATAGGGACCACCTTAATGCACTCTGTTAGATGTTGTACATAAAATTTAAAAACTAACCATAAAAAACAGGGTATAGGATATACAGCATTAGAGCAAAATCAAGGTTGGATAAATGATAACTGAATTTTTATTTTTGTGTGAACTCTTCAGAAAACGGTTATGACGGTCCCTGTAGACCACATGACTATGAATCAGTTTGGTGTCAGAAGAAAAAATAGCATCGTAAATCACATGAGGACTACTCATCTCTACAAAAAAGGGAACATCCAAAAACAAAATACAGAACGTAAAGCATGCAGACTACTTCAAATGAGTCACTTCTTCAAATAAACTGATTTGCAAACCATAGCTTTCATATTCTAAAACATTTAAAATTCAGAAAACATCAGAAAAAATAGTTACCCCTAGTTTTCCCTTTTTGGCAGCGAGTGTGATTGGGGTCAGTCCCTCATTATTTTCAATTTCCTCCAACTTGGTCTTGGGGTGAAGTTGGTCAGCTTTGATTAGGATGTGGTCATACATGGCGATGACGAACTCTGTGTTTTCAGGGCTATTATCAGCTACGGATACTAAAGCGTGAAGCACGGTGTTTCCATGACAGTCCCTCTCCCTGACATCCACCGCCTGGTGAGGGTTTTCCATAAGAAAGTCCACAATGTCTTGCTGATTAGTGCAAGCAGCCAGTGACAAGGGCAGCTCACCTGTGGACAAAAGGTAAGCTTAAGTATCAACAGTGATGAGTCACAATCATTGAGAGCAATAAACCCTTTTCACATTTCCTGGTTTCTCAGTAGTGGAAGTCGTCATAGTTGGGAAAACTTAGAGTGCAGTAAATGGGAGAATACAACAAATATTTTTTTACAATCTTATTTGCTGAAATAATAAAAGAAAAACTCCTCCATAGTGTTATCAAGGCTTTCAAAAAAAGGGAAAAAATTGTGTGAGACTGATGACGACCTCAAGAAGAGAGAATAACACCACATTTACTGTCCTGTCCCATAGACGTTGCATTAGAAACCCCTCGTACAAGTCAGAATTTGTTTTTTGTAATTTGAAGCAAAGATGATATTATACATTCACAAATACAGATACATGTTCAAAAATCAAATATTAAGAACTTTCAAGGATTTAAGATGCTGGTGACCGATATACGCGCCATAACAGTCTTGTGAAAAGTATCCATAAGTGGAACATTTGTGCATTTAAAATAAAGCATATCTTTAGTTTAAATAGTTCGATATAGAAAAGTTTGAGCTTATCTTATAACCTACCAAAATAGAAGCACATTTTTTGATTGGGCTGAAAGAATTTCCCACAGGCCTTGGCATGGACATCAGCCCCTTTCTTAACCAGCATCTGCACAAATTTCATACTCCTCCTTTCAATCGCAACGTGAAGTGCTGTCTGACCTGTGCCAAAAAGACCAGTCAAAACCAATGCAAGATGTATGCGCTGGACAGCCTGTTAAATAGGATCAATAATTTGCTGATTTATTATTTAAAAATACAATTTTAGCTCAGCATTTCTAATCATAATAAAGCTGCAGTGTGTAAAATAAAGCTCTGACCTTTGTAGTAACTGTCGGTGTAAGCAGCATTGATAAAGTTTTTCAAATCTCCCATTTTCTCAGCAATGTCCAGCAGTTGTTCAATAGTGTCATTCTCGCCTTGCCTCAAATTTAAAAGTGCTTTCAGCAGGGCTGTCTTTCCATTGGACTTATCTAAAGAAAATACATGTATTATTATTGTTTTTAAAATATCAGTCGTGAATTCACAGTACTTTGTATTTTTTTGTACATTGAAATTATAAAGTTTGGGGTCTGTAATATTTGTAATATTAATATATTACATATATTCTAAATATATTATATACTGTATATTAATAATATTAATTGCTATCAGTGTATAGACATTTGTTTAAAGACATTTACAGACCCTAAACTTTTCAGTGTATTTGTTCTTGAGCACAGTTACATTGTGAGTCGGTGAGTCGTTTCATGTTTTTGTGGAGATACTCATGTAAACCCTGCATTTTAGACACATCACCACTGGACACAGCCTCGAACAGCCTCTTGATGGTAAACCTGTCATTGTCCTGTTGAGCTGGTTCTTCCTTCAAGTTTCTGATTCCCCTGTTTGCAAAATGTATCAGTTTAAGTAAAGGTTTCTTATACATTTTAGTGGAGTTTAATAAAAAGGGTCACACACCAAACAAGAAGTGCTGCAGCATTCCTAGACTTTAAAGTTTAAACACATTGTTTACCATGAGTGTGTACACAACCACTCACTCAAACAAATCATATCTTATCTCATATTAAGTTTCAGGTTAAGATCGGGACTCTGGGCTGCCTTTTTATTTTTCTGATTGGGTGGTGAATACAGGGAAGCAACTGAATGTAAAAGGAGCTTCTGATCAACATTTGCATTTACTCTGCCATAAAGCTGTAAAAGAGGCCAAATTTCTGCTGCAGAAATCAACACCAAGCCATGACCACATTTCACTTCTTTACATGCTTTGGGTTCATTTTCCTCATTGGACCCAAATAATTGAACTTGCTTTTATCAATAGAGTGATCTTTAGACCTGTTCTCTGTTCTTCTGTCTTTGATTTTGTCTGCTGGTGAGAGGTTTGGTCACTGCAGGGATTTCAGTCCAAATTCTCCTAAACATTGAGACACTGTATATGCCAAAACAGATCTTTAATCTGAATTGAACTGTTGATCAGTGTGCATTTTCTACATTATCTTCTTGTGCACTTGACTTCATGGACAAGCCTTATTGAGGGAATGTTGTGAGCAGAACTTAATTTGAGCCGGATTCTGTTCCAGAAAATGATATTCGTGTTTTGCATTCTGGTGTTTATTTTAATGGATCTGGCATTAACTTGTGCATGATAAAAACCTACAAGTGTGTGCATGTGCATGCGTGTGTGTGTGTGTGTGTGTGTGTGTGTGTGTGTGAAGTATCTGAGTGTCTCTTGAAAAATGTCATCTCACCTGAGCCCTCACAATCCTAACATTACATGAAAGTGTGGGGAAGTTGTTTTGCAGCCTATGCAGTAAGCAGACATGGATAAAACGTCAAGTGTGAGTGATTTACATGCGAAGTCAATGCAAAAATACAATTAGACATCCTGGGGCGCAAATCAAGTGAATGATATGGCGCGAATTGGGCATTTAGTGCGTTGGACGTGCTTCAGACTGCAAAAGAAGGTGTGAGCAAATATGGAACAGACAGAAAAGCAAGCAGCTTACAATGAGGGAGATTGGTTTAAGGATGACGGCCGTGGATGTGACCGAATTAAAGGACATTATTTTTGCTTTACATGTACAGCTGGTATTATGATGTGCGTCAAATTGATAAATGATTTTGCTAAAAAAAAATTCTCTGCCATTGACGAGAGAAAATGCTTCCTTTGCCATCGACGAGTGATAGGTGGCAATCCGTGTTTTAGATGTATTATGGTAGGGGAAGCCCAAACGGATGTCCTTAAGGAGATAAGCTACACGATGTCAGATGATCTGGGGAGTGAAATTAGGATTGTGGGTAAGAATAAGAGTTACCATTGAAAAAAAAAATCTAAAATCCCTACTATTTCAGATCAAGAGACCAAAATATAGAAACTTCATTTTTATAATTTGTGTCATGAAGATTGCACATTTAATGTAGTGGGCTACCTAATCTGGTAAATAAGATGTGTTATGTGTGCAATGTGTTAACTTAATCACCACAAAATTAGTCATTTTTATTGCAGAATTTTGAAAAACTAGGGTGTCTGGTGAATGAGTGCAAACAAGGCTGTGTGAATTACACACACTAGACGATAGTCACCATGCGCAAGCAAAACTCGATTAACTAGTGGCCTTCAACAATATATTCAGCTAATCAGTTTTTTTATGTTTACAATCACTCTCATAGGTTGGTGATTGTTTCGCACACAGTGAGCAGCGAAAATAAATAATGGCACAATGTCCTACCTAAAGATTATCTGTATTTTCAAAATGGCAAAGAGACAGTCAAGTATATTTTTATTTTTTAAGGCACAAGTAAATGTGATAATGAGCCTGATCAAGAGATCTCGAGAAGATGAAACTTTGCAAATAGATCAGAATAGCAGGAGACAGAAGCAAAGCGATCTCAAGTCAGCCTGAAAACATGACAGAAGAGATAACTGTGGGCTCTTCTTGAAGATTAGACTGAGGGAGTCCAGAAAAGGATCCAAAAACATTGTCAAGACATTTCATGTGACTTCGGTGGTTCATCTGTAATCATACGAAGCTCCAAGAACACTTTTGTGTCAAAAAAACTGTAAAAAGGATGTTCACCAATGTGTTGCATATCAGATCAGGTTGCATGTTTACTACGGGCAATACGATACAATGCTTGCATGTTTTATTGCTGACTGCTGCAATTTATCGAAGTGCCTGTAAAAATGTGCACCCTTATGATACGTGATCGAAGATATAGGTAAACAAAGTCATATTTACAGTTTTTTTGACACACAAAGGTGTTTTTAGAGCTTCGTATGATTACAGTTACAGATTACAGTTTTGAGAATGCTTTTGATCTCAGGACCATTGATGGATTTAATCTAAAACATTTTAAATTGTGTTCCAACAATGAATAGAGGTCTCAGGGGATTGGAATGACAAGAGAGTGAGTCATTTTTAACAGAATTTTCATTTCGGGGTGAGCCCTTTAAAAATACTGCTTTTACAATAACCTCACATAGGACTGAGGAGTAATCTTGAAATTTAGGTAATTGTAAATTGTCCTCTAAGTTCTATTCACTTCATATTGACCACAGCTAAAACTGAAAGCGTGTGTAATTCCACTTTTCCAGTTTAGTAATTATAGTAACATTTTGAACTTCTTTCTTGACTTGACTGCAATGCACTACCTCTTGAGTTTTCTAGACATGGGACAGCACTTCCTGGTGTATGACCACATAAAGGAGCCCAATTATACCTGTCAAAGTGCAGGTTAAACTTAATTGTGCTAGAGGGTTCCACCACGTCATCTACGTAATTGGAGTCCATGGGCCTCTTGTCTTTTGAGACTTTTTTCATCTGTTTGGCCTTTGTCCTCTCCTCTTCTGTCTGGTCATCCGTCTCCAAAGAAAACGATGAGACACTGCTGTCCATTGATTTACTCATAGTGACGCCTTCTTAGTCTCACAAACTATAAAATGCATATAAGAGTGACATAAGTTAGCACATTCAGGAAATTAGGCTTCAAAAACATTCAAATAATTCCTTGGAAATATGAGCCTGACCACAAAAGCAAATGGGACAAGAGTCTAAGTTTTAAGATGAGAAAATGGGCTTTAATGATAGTTTTCTAAAAGTTTCTTCCTTTGCGATCAATCCAGTCAATTTAATAAATGAATAAAAAATAAATAAATGTTAGTATAATGTGACTAAGAGCCCCTTCTGAAAGCCAAGAAGCCACTTGAGTGTTGTAATGGGTCATTATGTCCTCTTTTTATGTTTTAAGAACCATTAAAAGAGGAAGGGTGCACAAATGATCCCAATGGAAACTCTGCGACAGGAAGCCAGGGGAAAAGCAGAACTAGTATGTGAAGCTTCAAAAAGAGCTTCTGCTTAAAGATGCTTAACTTATACAAACACTTAAAACACATATAAGACAAAGAAATGTGCAGCTAAGAAGTTTATGCAGTACATATATATTATATATTGGGGTTGAGCAGTGAAACTCAAACATTTAGTACTGGCAATTATAGGGCTAAATTTGACCAGCCTGGTGGCCAATCTTTAAAAGAGGACAGATTGTTGGTGCGTGTCTTGCTGGTGCATCTGTGACCAAAACAGCTACTCTTTGTGATCTATCAAGAGCCACAGAATTCAGGGTAATGTCAGCATACCACCAAGAATGACACCACATCCAGCAGGAGTAACTGTGGACACAAAAGGAATCTGTCTGAAAGGGATGTTGGATGCAGTGTATCTAAAAAACATTAAACCACAGCTGCCCAACTCACTGCAGAGTTAAATGTGCACCTCAACTTTCCTGTTTCCACCAAAACGGTCCACTTTGTAAAAATATACATGGCTGCTATATATATGCTATAATATTTAGGCTGCTATAGCCAATCCATTGGTCACCCCTACCAATGACAAACATCGGTTTCAGTGGTGCCAGCAGCAAATATCTTGGGCTGTGGACAATGTGAAACATGTATTGTTCTCTGATGAGTCTACCTTCACTGTCCCAAAGAAGCATACCACCCAGACTGTTGCATGTCTAGAATGAAGCATGGGGCTGGATCAGTGATGGTTTAGGCTGCATAATTACGGCATTGCTTAGACCCAATACTTGTCTAGATGGGCAAGTTACTGCCAAGGACGAACCATTCTAGAGAACCATGTGCACCCAGTGGTTCTAACAGTGTGTCCTGAAGGCAGTGTGGTGTATCAAGATGATAATGCACCAATACACAAAGCAAGATTGGTTACAGAGTGGTTTGATGGACATGAAAATGAAGTTGAACATCTCCCATGGCCTGCACGGTCATCAGATTTAAATATTATGAGCCACTTTATGGTGTTTTGGAGGAGCGAGTTTGGAAACATTTTTCTCATCATGTATACCGAACACCATGTAGTGAACTGGCCACTATTTTGCAAGAAGAATGGCTCAAAATCCCTCTGACCACAGAGCAGGACTTGTATCTGTCATAGGATGAATTGATGCTGTATTGACCACAAAAGGAGGCCCTACACCATACTTAATAATAAATAATATGCATTATTGTTGTCTAAAAACAGGCGTTTCATTGTTTCATCAGTTTCATACATACATACAGTTGAAGTCAGAATTATTAGCTCTTTTTTTAAATATTTCCCAAATGATGTTTAACAGAGCAAGGGAGTTTTCAGTTTGTCTGATAATATTTGTTCTTCTGGAGAAAGTCTTATTTGATTTATTTAGACTAGAATAAAAGAATTTTTAAATACCAATTTAAGGACAAAATTATTAGCCCCTTTAGTCAAATTGTTTTCTCGATAGTCTACTAAACAAACCATCGTTATACAATAACTTGCCTAATTACCCTAACCTGCCTAGTTAACCTAATTAACCTAGTTTAGCCTTTAAATGTCACTTTAAGCTGATTAGAAGAGTATTGAAAAATATCTAATCAAATATTATTTACTGTCATCATGGCAAAGATAAAATACATGTTATTAGAAATGGGTTATTAAAACTATTATGTTCAGAAATGTGTTGAAAAAAATCTGCTCTCTGTTAAACAGAAAAAAAAAACAGGGAAAAAATAAATGGGGGGGCCAATAATTCTGACTTCAACTGTACATATATGTATACATGTGTTATACATAAACACAAATACATAATTCTATATACAATCTTATAATATAGAAACTTATAATGAATTAAATTATTAAATTACATTGTTTTACATTTATGTGCATCTTATTGCTTAATAAGAACGGCATAAAACTAAATATGTATAGAGGTGTGATTGCATAAGAAAACAAACAATTAAAAATAAAGAGAAAAAAATATTTGGATTTATGATGTATTTATTTTTTGTGAACTAAAGTTTGTTTTATTCTGTAAACTACTGATGACGTTTTGTCATTTTCAGTGCATAAAATAACAAAAAAAAGTCAAGAAATGAGGTGGAATTACTGATTTTCAATCACAGCAAACACAAATGCTTAACTTTTCTAACCAATTGTCATTTTCTTTTTTTCGAATAAAACAAATAATAGCATAATACTCAAACCAATACCTAATAGATCCAGAGAAACTCACAATTTTCAAATTGTTCTTTTTATTTTATTCTATAGTTACATAGGCCTATATAATATTTTACACATTAAAAGAACTAGAAACATAAAAAGGTATGCATTTCAGTTTTATTTTTAAGAACTACTCAAATAGACCTTTGTGCCATGAATTATTGATGTCTCTTCATGCTGTTACATGCTATATGATCCCATCCAGGCCGAGAGCCATGATTGTCCTATCAAGGAAATCTTGTCCAGAGAGTACATGAAAATGCTTTTCTGACAGAATGCCTTGTCTAATGCACTGGATGTGCTGTGATTTACAATATCGTAGCTTCTCTGTAAATGCTTTCAAATAACATTATTACATTCTGCTAAAGGCAGTGAGAGGAAATAGAGTTATTAAGAAGCTGCAATATAGTCATTGAGTAATTGTGGTAGTATAAAAAAACCCTTCATTTTCTAAGAAGAAAATGTCCATGGAATTAAGCTGTTCACACAAAAAGCTCATCTCTATTTTGACTGTGTTCCTGAGTGTACATGTGATCTATCTTGTGACATTTTCCCATGCATCTTTTACAAAGCTGGTTTTGTGTATAAAAGAATGTTCATATTTGCGTGACTCTTTTAAGATTAAAAGGCCACCGATTTTGAAGATGATTTTCAATGAGGCTAACACCACATTTGTAATAATGTTAGGATGCTGTTTTACTTTCTTCTGAGAACAATCACTTCACTTATTAAAATGTTGTATTAATAGCAAGTGCTGTGAGAACAGGAGCAAATGTATCACCTCAATCTTTTTTTTTTTTACAAGTGCGAGTTAAAAGAGGAAGGGCACAAAAACCATTCACATGACAGGAAGTCACGGTATCAAAGGAAATGTAAAATTAGTTTCAGTAGTCATATATATGTGTACACTGGTCAAAGGCTAAAAGTGTTAAAAGCAATAAAAGAATTATGTGGTTTTGTTTTTTCTGCAGGTGACACAGTGGCTAAGTAGGTAGTGCTGTCGCCTCACAGCAAGAAGGTCGCTGGTTCGAGCCTCGGCTGGGTCAGTTGATGTTTCTGTGTGGAGTTTGCAAGTTCTCCCTGTGTTCGCTTGGGTTATTTTATTTATTTATTTATTCGGCGCCCCAGCTGCTTACAGTGCATATCTAATTATGTTTGTACTTTCAATTTGACGCATACACCAAAATGGCCAGTCATGACTTTTCACCTATTCATTCATTCACTTTCTCTAGGCTTAGTCCCTTTAGTAATCCGGGGTTGCCACAGCAGAATGAACCGCCAACTTATCCAGCATGTTTTACGCAGCAGATGCCCTTCCAGCTGCAACCCATCTCTGGGAAACATCCACACACACTCATTCACAGTCATACACTGCGGACAATTTAGCTTACCCAATTCACCTGTACCACATGTCTTTGGACTGTGGGGGAAACCGGGGCACCTGGAGGAAACGCCAACTGACCCAGCTAGGGCTCGAACCAGCGACCTTCTTGCTGTGAGGCGACAGCATTACCTACTGCGCCACTGCATTGCCTTCCTTCGGCTTAGTCCCTTTACTAATCAGGAGTCACCACAGCAGAATGAACCGCCAACTTATTCAGCATATGTGGTCCCACTTTATATTAAGTGTCCTTAACTACTATGTAGTTGCATCAAAAAATAAATACAATGTACTTACTGTGTTCATAATGTATTTGAGAACTTGTGGTGCTCTTGAGTTGGGATAGGGGTTGGGTTAGGGACAGGTTTGGTGGTATGGGCAGGTTTAAGGGTGGGTTAAGGTGTAGGGAATGGTCAGCAGTGTATTTACAAATGTAATTACAGAAGTTAAATACAGATGTAATTACATACAGGTATTTAATCAAGCATAAGTACACAATGAATACATGCATTTACACAATAAATACATTGTAACAAACTATTAATTCCTGTGTAAGTACATATTAGTTAAGGCCACTTAATATAAAGTGGGACTGCATATGTTTTACACAGCGGATGCACTTTCAGGCAAGATCCAGTACAGGGAAACACCTATATACTCTCATTCAAACACATACACTAAGAACAATTTAGCATACCCAATTCACCCATGCAGCATATCTTTAGTTTTTGAACCGGAGCACCTGGAGGAAACTCACGCCAACACAGGGAGAACATGCAAACTCCACACAGAAATGCCAACTGACCCAGTCAAGGCTTGAATCAGCAACCTTCTTGCTGTGAGGTGACAGCGCTACCCCGCTGACCAAAATGCATCAAAACAATTATTAATAATGTAATGCATATTACAGTAAACAAAAGTAAACCCATTTAAAGCAGGATTAGAACATATTCAGTCGGTATGTAAAAACACACTGCTTTTGTGGGTGTGGCGTCATTGTTAGGAGTCTGATAGATATTCCATGGACAAATTATGCTGTAATGTTGTTTAGTACTCTGGTTGATGACATAATGGGCAATTGCAAAATGCTGGCTAGTGTTATTTACTAGAATATTATGACATGGCCTCTCTGTAAATGGGATCATATAACATTAGAGTGAAAACTGTACATTACACAGACGCCAAACTCAACTCATTATGTTGGCACAATCAGCTTGCTTTAGATTGAGCAAAAACAGTTCATCATGTTACTGTCAGATTTAAAGAGACAAACCCTAAAACTGTGCAGCTCTTATAAGGATGAACATACATACATAGATAAAATGACAACAACAACAAACTAAGCATTACTGTATTTGCCAAATATGAAGTTATTTGAATTATTGATACAGTAGACCATTCAAATGAAGGTATGAAGTATAACACTCACCAATGAATTTGTGATTGTAGTCAAAACAGGCAGATGAAATGGTTGAAAAATGCCATATCAATGTTTCCTTGTGAGTAACTTGGCTTGAGGTATGTTCCCTTGAGCGCTGCTGAAGACACTGATGGGTGGTTTTCTCTCAGTCTCAGAGAGGAAGCGAGAGTAGGATCTTCTGAAGCTGCTGAGAGCCTTGCAGAAAGGCGTGTTGTATTGATTTTTAGAGTGTTGTTGGGTATGCTTTGCCCCGTCCACGCCTTATTCAGGCTCCTATGTAATCCACTTCTACTGTACATGAAGCAAACAATGCACTATCAATAAGCTTCTGTTTTAATACTTTATTTTTTAGATACATATATTAGATGATATCAAATAACTCTACGAAAAGCACGTTTGGATAGAACCAAGCACAGAAGACTGTTGAACAATTTACTTTCTTAGCATGTTTGGTTTCCTGTATGACACTAGTGGACTGAGGCTCAATAAGACGTTTTATAACATCCGTGGTTTAGCTGATCGCATCACATCTACAAAATGAAACCTTAGCTTGATGTGTGCAATTGAAAGTGCACGTGTGGTGAAGAATTTGCCTCTCGATGCAACTTCTTCCTGTTTATTTCATTTGAAGAACAGAAACATGAATTATAACCATAAGGAGTGCATGAGAATTATCTTTAAGCTCAATGATAGCAAAAGAATGAGAAATAAAACAAGTTTTGCTTTAAACAGTACGGTTTATTGATATTTGAAATGGCACTGAGTGTTGTAAACAGAATGTTTTTTTGATTTTAAGGTACTCTTCAGTCCTTTAATGGGACTCAGAATTCTCACCCTTCTCCAGTCCCAGATTTTATTTTTCAAATATAGTCCAACAATGTTTGCAACAATTTAGTTCATAACAATGTCAACAACACACACATGTTCTTTAATTCAATTCTTAAATTACATATAGTTTTTATTTTATTTTACAGGACAGTAGGCCAAACAGTAGCTTTATAATGACTGTAAATTAGTAAATAAACTAATTAAACGGATCAAATTAAATCTCAACTGATTTTTAAATAAATTATCAAAAACATAAAAATAATTTTAGGAAATTAGGAAATCTCTTATACATTTTAAACCGTTTTACACCATAAATCAATTTAAATGAAAGAAAACATGTATATATGTATATTCAGTTGAAGTCTGAATTATTAGCCCCCTGTTGATTTTTTTTTCCTTTTTTAATTATTTCCCAAATTATGTTTAACAGAGCAAAGAAATTTTCACAGTATGTCTGATAATATTTTTTCTTCTGGAGAAAGTCTTATTTGCTTTATTTCCACTAGAATAAAAGCAGTTTGTAATTTTTTAAACACCATTTTAAGGTCAATGTTGTTAGCCCCTTTAGGCTATATATTTTTTTCCATATTCTACAGAACAAACCATCATTATGCAATAACTTGCCTAATTACTCTATCCGGCCCAGTTAATCTAACCTAGTTAAGTCTTTAAATGTCACTGTAAGCTGTACAGAAGTGTCTTGAAAAATATCTAGTCAAATCTTATTTACTGTCATCATGGCAAAGATAAAATACAACAGTTATTATTAGAAATGAGTTATTAAAATTTAATTATGTTTAGAAATGTGTTGAAAAAAATCTTCTCTCTGTTAAACAGAAAACGGGTAAAAAAAACAAACAAACAAACAGGGGGGCTAATAATTCAGGGGGCCTAAAAATTCTGACTTCAACTGTATATATAGATATATTTATACAATTTACCTAAAAATTTACTTTTTCTAAGAATTTCACTTCAGCTGAACAGGAAGATTTACAGCTGAAACTGTGGAATATGGTGATTTTAAAAAAAGCACAGTAATGGGTAACAGCATAGTGCAAAAAACTTTTGGCTCAGCATATTGAGGTCTTATGAAGTGAAGCATTGAGGTGTACAATAAACTGAACACTACAGCTTCACAACATTATCACCTTAAGCTTTAACAGTAAATGGCCCTGAGTATGTATTGACATATTGTAATGGCCTGCATAACGATAATGTTTTAGTTTTTGTTGATGTTTGTGTTTAGTGTGGCAAGGCTGCAATCCCAATTCAGATGGAGGACACATGGACGGTGAGTCCAGGACTCTGTTTAAAATGAAAATGTACGTTTATTTAGCTAGGGCACACTGTTATTCATTTGGTGAACAATTAATTAAGTTAACTGAAAAAACTCATTTGTTTTGGTAATCTTCAATCAAAGTTTGACCATTTCTGTGTTTAGAGATCTCTTTTGACATCAGTTTGATGCTTATTATACAATATTCTCTTACCATTAGTTTGCCATGAGGGACTAATGCAAAGAAATAAAGCTTAGCCCCCCAATATTCAGCTCCAAGTACATCGTCATATTGAAAAAGTCTCAGCAACTTCTGGGTCACATAGACTTAATATTTCGAGTTGTTCTTCCTCTTTTTTGTCATAATCTTCAAGCCAGGTTATCAAAATCCTGTAAGAGCCCACGTTTATCATAACCTGGCTCAAAGATCATTGAACAAATGAGAGAAATATTTGATTTACATGTGAGCGGATGCTGTCAGTAAAATCTTTTTACAGCTTAAACAAAAGTAATTCTGTTGAATATTACAACACACGTCCTCCATCTTTACTGTAAAAAAGTAAAAACATTTTTCCATTGCATATATTTTATGCACAACAAGCCATTAATGTTCTTAGGACCATTTGGACAGATCACAGTCTTCCACTTTATAAGACCTCAATCTATCATTAGAAGCCACAAGAATTCATTTAGTGTTTTCCCTGTATGCCTGTATATGCTTTCTACTCTCAAAGTGATTAGAGTTGATTTTATGAATCACCAGTAGATATGTTTCCATCCAAAAATGCTAATTAACTTTATGCACAAAACTGGAATATCGCATAAAAGACATGTGAATAAAGCAGCGTTTTCATCCAAGTAGACAAAGCGGAAAAAATCATCACTTCCTGATTAACTGTCACCAAATATTAACAGTACAAACAGAATTTACTGAAGTAGGAGAAGCTGCGTGAATCTTTTCTTCATTTAATAAATGACCTGTGCCTTAGAAGGAAATCCTGACACGCCATAAACATTTGGTGGCGTTTGAAGGTGTGAGACGCAGAGCAGATGCTCTTCATTATTCTGGAGGTCATTAATAATATAATGACACTAATACTTAAACGGTAAGGCGTTTTTGAATGACTAAGCCAACATTTCAGATTATTTACAATGTGCTCAGCCTGCTGGTTTGTCTATTCATACACATTTTGATTATCACATGATCTCAAAATAAAATCTCAAGACCTTTTTTAATGCTCATACTGGAATATGTTTAGTAAAAGTGTTTCAATCGCAGTTCATGAGCATCTTTTCTTATTAAATAAAAAGTTTCTCATACTTACTTATGCGCATATTTTATGCAAATTTTTTAAATAGGTGGATAGAAACATAGCTACTGACCACAGTTTCAGCTAAATATGTAATGTAATGTTCTACTGAAGACATAAACAGGAATCTTGGATAACCTGAGGGTGAGAAATTTAACAACTTTTAAGAAATTTTGTAAACAATCCTTTAAAAAGGATTATGACATTTTTGGAATTATGAATTTGAATCCAGAAAAAAGTAGCCCTACCAGAGAGCATTACAGTCTTGAGGGTTGGTTCTTGTTTCATGTTTGGTCACTGATCACCATGGCAACTCCAACTGCTGAGTCCACATCTTTTCCATAGACAACAGGAAATGGAAATACTCTCTCCACTTCCTGTTGCAGAACTGCGTTACATGACAGAGCACTGCCACTGCCGATAATACAGCGCACGCCAGCGGCCCGCAGGCTCTGAGGGGGCATCATAGTGGCCAGGTTTTCAATAATACCCCTGCACACAGCCCGGGTCACGTGACCCAGAGACAGGTTGGAGGATGAGATGTGGGAGACGCTGGCACTGCTGGATGGGGCATGACGCTCTCCTAGTAGTGTTGATGTCACGGTTAGGTCAGTATTCGGCTGGGCCAGAGCAGAATGGATGAGCTGAGAGTAGATGCTGGACTCACTTACTTCCAGTCCTGTAACATAAAATAACAAAGCATTATTAATATAAGAACAAGAGACACAAAAACCTGCAAAAACACACAACCCTGCAGGGGTTCTTAACCTTTTTCAAGCTGGGCCCTCCCAAAGCTGGTTCATTGCAGTTGGGACCCCAGAGCATAGGCAAACCCAGGTGGGCCCCACATGGGTAAACCCAATGCCAATCAAATAATTTTATTTTTAATATATATATAAATATATATATATATATATATATATATATATATATATATATATATATATATATATATATATATATATATATATATATATATATAATGTTTCGTTTTTTTATAAAATGCTGTAGGACAAATGAGATAATAGTACTTATGCTTATACTAATAAGCAAAATAAATGTTTTGCTAATAAATAAAAGTTTAAAATAATAATTTCCTCTAGTCTAAGAAAAAATGTCAGATGTGGGCTTCTAAATTTTCAGTTGATTGGGTTGATTTTGTAAGGGTGTGATTCATTTATAAAAAAAATGTAAATAAATTAACAATAATAACTACAATAGAGCAAAAAAAGTCAAATAAAAGTTCATTATGGTTTTCTGGAGAATCAAACAGCATCCAGATGCAGAAATGTAATAATGTAATGTAAAATAACACTGTATAATCTTCATTCTATTAATAAATCAGTCAAAATTCTCTTCATTAAAGTTATAAATGTTTTACGTTATTGTGCCCGAATGCTTTACAGTTTCTTGAAATGCCTTTAAAACACATGCAAATGATAAAGTTTCACTCTGTTATGGTCATATGTTGCAATGACTCCATGAATCTCATGTATTCTCAATTGTTGATAGACTATAATGCGAATATAACATTGCATATCCTGCAATGTGACTATTGCGGGGACAAACATTGCAATATCGATGCTGAAACGATATATTGTGCAGCCCTAATTTGGAGTGACCACCAGTTCATGAATTAATCATTAGTTTGATTAGATTTTTGTCTGAAAGAGTTAATGACTCAGAACAGCACAGACCTACAAGTTACACACCTACAATCTAAACTCTTTTTTGGACGTATCCAACAGTCATTTTGACGTAAGATGTGCCAGTATACCAGCATGTATAATTCTGGCTTTACCAACTGATTCAGTGCTCCTGCAATGACTAATTTGAGGAAATAGCTCCGGCTCTGACTTGAACTGTTCTAAGAACTTGTGGGAACTGAGAACTAGCATGAAGGGGCGAAATCAGGGTACGTAGTTTCCAATGTTTTATGTAAAAAAGATGTAGACATTATATTCTTTAGATGTAAAAATCCACATTTGATTATCATTATGGGTGATTTAACTATATTAAAAATAGTTTAATATAATAAATAATAAAATAATAAAATAATTTATTTCTTAGCATAAACAAACTGTCTGAAAGAAACATTTCATCAAAACAAATCAGATTTCCCCATTTATCTTGGCTGTGAATTAAAGGTAATAATGTTGTAAAAAGGGCGTCAAGGTGGCACAGTGGGTAGCACAATCGCCTTACAGCAAGAAGGTCGCTGGTTCGAGCCAGTGTTCGCATGAGTTTCCTCTGGAAAAGACATGAGTTTCCTACTAAAGACATGCGGTACAGGTGAATTGAATAAACTAAATTGTCTGTAGTGTATGAGTGTGAAAGAGTATGTGTGTATGGATGTTTCACAGTGAGGGGTCGCAGCTGGAAGGGCATCTGCTGAGTAAAACCCATACTGTATAGGTTGGCAGTTCATTCCACAGTGGCAGCACCAGATTAATAAAGAAGAAAATGAATGAATGTTGTAAATGATGCACTGTTTCTTGCACAAATTCGATCCTTTCCCTTCATAAGACCTCAATGTAACATCAGATAATAATGCTGTGTTCCCAGTTACCTGCTTCCTTATGATAACCATTGACTTATAATTTATAAATGACCAAAGACAATAGTTTCAGCTAAAAAGCTTATGTTTTGCTGGAAATAATTCACCTACATGTTGGATGGTCTGAGGGTGAGTAAATTAACAGAAAATGTATGTTTTTGGTTAAACTCTCCCTTTAACTACATTACTACACTGATAATTAATTTGGAAACGTAACAATCGTTGATTTACCAAATTCTTTCATCCATGAGTCCAGCATTCTGACGAAGGTGGCCATAACGTTGCCTCCATTAAGTGATGCGGCCACCGCAAGATATGATCCCTCAAAGTATGGGAAATAAGCGATGGGCGAGAGCGGGTCTGGAGAACTGGTAGGGGTGAATTCAGCTGGCATCCTGAACGTCAGCTGGGCTGAAGTACTCATATTCAACACTATTGAACAAAATTCACAATTAATTTGTGCATGTACGTGTATACATATCATATGTGCATGAATCAAAATTTGGGGTCTGTTTATTAACACTGGTAGATTTGAAAGCAGTCTATTCTGCTCACCAAGCCTGCATTTATTTGATCAAAAATGCCATAAAACAGTAATATTGTCAAATATTATTACAATTTGAAAACACAATTTCGTATTTAATCATTTTAAATTAATACCGATTATGCAAATCTAAACTTTCAGTAGTTATTATTTCAGTTTTTAGTCACATGATCCCTCAGATATCATTGTAATTTTATTATTTGGTGCTCAAGAAACATTTATTTTTATTGTCAATTTTGATTAAAATTGTTGCATTTTCTGTATTTTAATCAGAAAGTTCAGAAGAACTGAGTTTACTCAACATGTAGAAGTCTGTTCCAACAGACTTACTGACCCCAGATTTTTGAAAATCCACAATATATGTTGAAGCAATAATATATACACAATAAATGCACCAGATCATGTAGCTAAAAGTATTTGTATTGGACATTCAGCATAATGTCACCATTGCCCAATAAATGTAGTCATTATTGCTAAACATGTTTATCACAACAGATCAGCTAACATGTTGAAGGATAACAAATCAAAATCATCTCTGACTGGTTCATAAAACCTGTGGCATGTTTGTTTATTTATTTTAACAACAAATAACTAAACATTGAGATCCGAACATGGGAAAACAACCAAATAACAACAAAGAAATTTGAATTCAAGATAAGATTATAATTTTTAGTATAAGCATGAGCTGCTGCACTGAAATCTCTCATTTACAAAACCTTAAAACTGGTGCCGTGCCCTTGAGAGATGACGCTGAAATCTAAGCGCATAATCTGCAATGTCTAAATGTGCTCATTACAACTCCACCTGGAGGCCGAACTACTGTATGTACAGATTATGAATATTTTTTTGTGGTTGAGATTATTACATTATATAAATATCATAATCTTGATTGTGGGTTGTTTAGAAACCCAGATATGAGTTAAATTAAGTAATTTGGTTAGTGTTGCAGCTGGAAGGGCATTCGCAGTGTAAAACATATGCTGGATAAGCTGGCGGTTCATTCCACTGTGGTGACCTTGGATTAATAAAGGGACTAAGCCGAAAAGAAAATGAATTAATTAATTATTTGGTTAGTTTAACATACAAAATGATTTAGAGGAGTTGTATTGTAATAGTTTAGTGTAACAAAAATATATGTCATGTACAATTATAAACATTATGAACAGCTACACAAAAATAGCTCTGATTTTTGACTTTGACTTGGCAGTAAAGAATAGTTTTGTGTTCCTTGCTTTAGACATTTTATCCTAATGTTTAGTTAAAGGCACCGTACATATGAACTTTTCATGACAATATATATAATAAAATATAATTAATATATAATAATAAAAAATAAATAATATAATAATGAAATATTATATATGCTATATATATATAACTAAAACAGTTTTAAATATTTAGTTGACTTATGTACTTGCATTATTCCAAACATTTTGAAGAATGTTCAAATCCAGAGAAATGTGTGTCCTGTGTCATGCTAATGATGTCACACACCCTCAATATTTGGTTTGGTTTTATAGAAAACATAAAAACACGATTAAATATGTCGAGTACTGTATTAGACTGAACAAAATAATAACAGGGCTTCACAATGCACAGTGGGTAGTACAATCGCCTCACAGCTAGAAAGTCTCTGGTTCGAGCCTCGGCTGGGCCAGTTGGCATTTTAGTGTGGAGATTGCATGTTCTCCCAGTGTAAGCATGGGTTTTCTTGGGTGCTCCAGTTTCCCCCACAGTCCAAGGATATGCGGTACAGGTGAATTGGGTAAACTAAATTGTCCATATTGGATGTGTGTTGATGAGTGTATGGATGTTTCCCAGTGATGGGTTGCAGCTAGAAGGGCTGTGTAAAACATGCTGGATAAGTTGGCAATTCATTCCGCTGTGGCGACTCCAGATTAATAAAGGGACTAAGCCAAAAAAAAAAGAAAAGAAAAAATAATAACAGAACCTTAAAATGTATTTAGTTCGATAAAACTGCTTCTTCTCCAGGTGATCACGACCTCAAGAACCAGAAGTGATTGACAGTGGCATTATAATATCTATAATAATAATAATCTGCACTCGTCTCATCAGCAGTTGCTTCAGAGGTCTCAATTGCTGCATTGGCTTTAAGCCTTACATTGATTCATAATACCATGATAAAACATTTTGAATACTTTAGCTCATCCATGAACATCATTTCTGCAAGAGCCCCTTAGGGCAGGGATGTCAAACGCAATTCCTGGAGGGCCGCAGCCCTGCACAGTTTAGTTCCAACCCAAATTAAACACACCTGATCAAACTAATTGAGTCCTTCAGGCTTGTTTGAAACATACAGCTAAGTGTGTTGGAGCAGGGTTGGAACTAAACTGTGGAGGGCTTTGGCGCAGTTGTACTGTGAATGCAAAGCCAGCCTGAGTTCAAAACTAAGCATCCGAAGTCACTTTTAAGGTTTGTTTAATATGGATTTATTAATGATTCTTAATTTTCAATGAACGCAAACAGTCATAGGTTAATAAAGACACAAACTCCTCACTGCATGTCAGCTCCACCCACCAAACCTTCTACTACAAAAGTCCTGCAACACAAGGACTTTTATGATAACTTGTGAGCATGAAAATATGTGACTGCGTGTCACTGCATCCCAAACAACTAAAACGATATAACTAAAGCAGTCCCCACTATATGGAGCTAGAGTCCCCTTCCTGCTAAACCAAACAATCACATTATCCATGATATAAGCGTGCTCAGGTTCGGAATGTAAAGACGAGCTGTGAGTGCACACCATCAGGGGAGGGGGGAGGGAGGACAACCACGCTTCGGCACGGTTCAAGGCATCTGTACTTAGTGAGAGTACACCCTCAGACACGGCATCATCAAACTATGCTTTTGTTTGTTGTGAATACACGCCCTCTAATGGTAAAATTACATACTGTATCTTTAATGCTTTAATGTGTTTTGTTAGAAAATAATTAGGCACTTATTTTTAAAATGCTTGTAAATACTTTTTTTTTTAATGGACAAAATTTTATTTGTAGAGAATGTTTTATTTATTTATTTACATTTTGACCTTTATAAAAAAAGCTTTTACTTTTACTGTATAGGACATGTACAGTACTGGACACTATAAAAGCATAATGGGGCATTTTAAAACACATAAAATGCTCTACAGCCATCTGAAAATAAAGATTCATGTAACCCACACAGTACCTGCGTGTCCTCTGTCAGTTATGCAGGAGTACACACTACACTGGAAGTCTCCTAGTGCCGCCCCGACCGCTGTGTGAGCAGGAATGCCGTACCATTCACAGGAAGTATGACCAGCCACACGTCCTGAATCCACCAGCACAGGCAAGAGGTGCACAGGGAAACCTGCATCCTTCAGACTGCACCAGTTATAAGCACACCGTCAATTTATGCTGCCGCCGAAACCCACCAGAAGACATTCGATTATTCTGCATTATTAGAAATCCGAGATAGTTTCCTTGAGGAAAATGAAACAAATATTACTCACATGTGTGTGTTCCATTGGTTAGTGGCTGTGTTGAAGTAGCCCCAGCTGGCAGCATTTTGTCCAGTCATCACACACTTGTCAAGGCTGCACAACATGGAAACCACATAGTCTTGAATGGTTCCTGCATCACTGAAGCCTGACAGGAACTCGGGCCTGATTCAGAGTCATAGATTAAAATCAATCCTTTGGATATTTTAGACTTAATTTCAAATTTAGTCTGAAATGTAGAGTGTGATTCTACCTGTGTTTCATATACCAGAAGACCGTGGCACAGCCGAAGCCGGTGGCCACACTCAGGTGTGAATCTGGTTTAGGTAAAGCCGACAGGAAGTCAAAGTCGCAGCGCCCGTCCTGCCATGTGATCAGCTGACTGACATCTTTGGGACTGAATCTGGTGATGCCATCTTTACTCTGCCATTCACAGCCTAATAGAGACATGAACAACAGTGTAATTATTGATGTCACCCCATTTATGATTTATGAATGAGTTTAGAAGCTGTTAAAACAGGGCCACAGCAGAATGCCAGAAGCATTAAAGTGTATTATCACCCAAAAATGAAAATTATGCTATTAATTTCTCATTATCCTCATGTTGTTCTAAACCCCTGAGACCTTTTCCAATAATCTTTTCTTTAGAACACAAATTATTATATATTAGGTGAAATCTGAGAGCTTCCTCATTCTCCATAAACAACAAGGTTCCTGACTCGTCTGCAAGCCAGACAAAAATGCAAAAAAATCTTTAATATGGACCAAATGCCTTCAGTGGTTTTATCGAAATATTATTAAAAATATGATTGAGTGCAGATGAAGCAAAAATATTGACTTTATTCAACAGTTTCTTCTCTTAAGTGTCAGCAAGGGCCTGCAAACAGAGGAAGCTGAGTGTGAGCATTCAGTGGTAAACATCACTGCACAGTGCCCATGAATGTGCTCAATATACTGACACTGAGGAGCAGAAACTGTTAAAAAGTCTTTTCATTGTGTTTTAAGTGCACACAAAATTATTATTGTAGTTTGATAATATTCTGATTGAATCACTGAAGGAATATGGTCTGTTTTAAGGATGTTTTTGGATCATTGCTGTCTATGGAATATAAGGGAGCTCTCAGACTTCACCTAATATCTCCTAATTTGTGTTCTGAAGACAAACAAAAGTCTCAGAGGTTTCAAACAACTCACGAGCGAGTAATTAATAACATACTTTTCTATTTTGGGTGACTAACCCTTTAAGTATGTTGTCAGTAGTTGTTCAGTGTTAACCTGAGTTAGATTTCCACAACACAATGCCATGCATTTGTCCACATACTCCAATGAACTTGACTTTTTTCAGCTTGTCTTTAGGCAAAGCAGCCATGCACTGGTCCAGAGCGGCAATTATAAGTGCAGGATCCTGCTCTTTGGCCTATTATCAACAACAACAACAACGTTTGATAAAAGTTTTGAGTTAAATAGCACACTAAACAACACTTATTAAAGACCACTCACAGAAGTATCCTTTGTACAACAACATACACAGCATTATTGTAAGTGTATTTTGATCTGTCACCTACATGTGTGTGTGTGCTGCTGCTGATATCAGCGTTTGTAGTGAAGCTCCTGCTCTCTGTCACTGTCTTTGACTGCGCTTCCAACAGCACCACTTTCACCGATGTGGTGCCCAGATCCATTCCGAGAACAAAGCGATCGCAACCGGTCTGTGATTCCGCCATGACCTGTCAAGAATCCCTACTTTAGTACTTTTGTGCAATCCTAAAAATATTTGCAGTAAATATAATATAATAGTAGAGAACACCCTGCATGCTGTCTACTTTGTGATTCTGAACTATCGTCAGTGGTGAATGATCAATCTTGTTTCAAATCTTTTCAATGAATATACTGAACTGATTCACAAAACTCATGTAAATGATTCATTTAAAAATTACGACAAAATAACTTATTAAATCCGCGTCTCTTTCTTACTCCTTGATCAAAAAAACAATAATGTAATAATGTAATGTATTTGAAATAAATTTTGTCGTATGTTTAAAATGATTTCCTGTCACTTTTAATCAACTGAATGTCCTTAAATAAAAGCACATCTGTTTTATCAATCATGAAAAAAGATTACACAAAAATATGAATAACCTTCTGACACTGAATCCTTACTGCAAAATTCAGCTTTGTCATTACGAGAAAAGTGTTTTTAAAGTTTAAAATAGGTTTAGTTTGTATGAATTATTTTAGCTTTTTATATGATTCGTTTTAGTTTTATTGTTTAGTTATTTTAAGTTAGAAGAACATATTTCTAAATTATGATCAAACAATATGAAGCTTTAATCAGTAGAGACTTGTCCGTTTTTTTTCTTTAGTGTGTATTTTGGTCAGTCACATCTAAGAAAAAGTCGCCATGATGTCAGAAAACGCATAGAAATGGAAGCATCGGCCAGTTGTTTGAAGTGAACAGTTCAAAGGAACCGACTCTTGCGAACGATTCCAACATCTTATCACAAGTTTTGAGCCTTCGCGGATCCCATACACTGGGTGAAAGGTAAATCAAATAAGCAGATATTTAAACTGTAATATTACTTGAAATTATACATCCAAACGCGTACAATTTTACATGTTATTATTTTAAAATTAAATCCGAGTTAATTGTAAAAATAAATAAAACGACATTTTTCATCTCCCATGGTGCTTTGCGAGAAAATGGCTGATGTTGAATGACACACGCCGTGTTTTATCCAGAACATCTTCCTAAATAACACATTCCTCGCTGTAACAGAGCTCTGATAGTTTGCGATGCACGAGTGTTTGATGTAAACGATGTTTGTTTGAGTCGCGGAGGCAGACGCTCGTGTTCTTCAGTGTTTTCTCTCTAACGGTAAGCGGAGGAGATTTAAACTGAACTCACGGCTTTATGTGATGGTCGATGTTTCAATGCTCTTCTGTTTTTGTCTCTCAGCCTGTTTTTAACATCTCATCATGGCCTCAGTCGCAGCCAAACGCGAGGGTCCGCAGTTCATTAGCGAGGTGTCGGTGCGGGGGAACGGGGCGGTGCTCGACTACTGCCGCACCTCGGTGTCCGCGCTGTCCGGGGCCACCGCGGGCATCCTCGGCCTGACGGGACTCTACGGCTTCGTCTTTTACTTCCTCGCTTCTTTCCTGCTGTCGCTGCTCCTCATCCTCAAAGCTGGTCGACGGTGGAACAAGTGCTTCAAGTCTCGCCGTCTGCTGTTCACCGGGGGCCTCGTCGGAGGCCTGTTCACCTACGTGCTGTTCTGGACGTTCCTGTACGGGATGGTGCATGTGTACTGAAGCTACTCGGACTAGATGTAGGACAGTAACACGATAGAGAGGCCTCTGGGTGGTGGAGAGTGCTGACTGACCTTGTTTTTTATCTTATGTTTAGGCATAGAAATATTTTCTCAGTACTAATTGCACTGAAGGTTTGACGATGTGAGATGTCGGATGGTTTCCTCTTGTAGGTTTAGTGTTTTCCTTACGGGACAGGGCTGGTTTGGATGTAGTGTAGGCCAACAAGACTAATGTGTTTTCAGCTTGCTCTCTGTGTAAGATCCGGGTAACAAGTCAGAGCTGTGTAAAAAAAATCCACGTCCACTTTAAATCTGTACAAATCACATGGTTTTAATTTATATCCATTGAGGAAAATAAATGATTAACCTCATGCATTCATCTGCCTGGTTTTCTCAAGAATGCGTTATACAAAAGATCTGATTATTTTCTTCGTCACTGAAACATTTTAGTGTCTTTAAATATTTTACCTATGGTTAAATTAAAGCTGTTCTATATTTACAGGTATTTTCAGCAGATTGATAAATATAAATAATTGAGTAAATAATCCGCTTTAAATATATTTATAAATGGATCATTTAGAGTTTTTCTCAGTGCTAAAATGACACTTGCAGTTCTTTTTGTTTCTGAATTAGTAAATAAAGGCATAGTTCGCTCAATAAAGAAATCATTTACTTGTCCTTGACTTGCTCTAAATCAATTTGAGTGTTCTGCTCAGTTGAACACAAAAGATATTTTGAAGAATGTTGAAAACTGACATCCATGGCAGGAAAAACAAATACAATGGAAGTTAATGGTTACCAGGGGTCCGTTCTTGGTACCTCGTGTAAATGATCTAATGATTTGACAGATGCGGGATCTTTTAATCTTGATCACTGATCTATGGCTAATTTGGTTCTTCAAACAAATGTGAACAAAATGACATTAAATGCATAGTAAACGGTTTGTTAAATATGACACGCAATAACTTTCCCCCTTTGTTGTCTGCTGCAGGCTTTACACTTTCATGTGTCCAGAGTATTTAGCTATTTATTTAGTTTTACATCTTAGAGTGGATTTTCTTTATTATAGTAGCCGAAGCCTATTCAAGTCTCTTTATCAGCGTAAGGTTTTAAATAAATTTCGCATCAAAAAACATTTTAATATCGATAAGGGTGTCTGCAGCTTTTGCAAAGCATCAAATCACCGACATATTAGCGATCAAGCCATTCGCATGACTGCATAAATTATTAATCCTTCATAAAAAAAAAAAAAAAAAAACAGTTTAATATTTGTTATGTCTATAATCGTTCAGAAATCGGTCTAAAGTTTGATCGGTACCATAAAATAGTACGCATGTGTATCTAAAAAACATCATAATAAATGTCCTGATTGAGAACCACCTCATTTTTGTACTTTTATTTACTAAGTTTTATTTATATATACATATTAAAACCTATATGCATATAAACATAAATATACTTTAATATTACATATTATTAGAAATGATAAATGTGTATATATACACTTTTTTTTTTTTTTTAACTATTTAACTTTTTCCCCAGTGTATATAACCCTATAGGTTACCACTGTAAGAAAATATCAGCAATCTGTACTTTCAGCATTACCTTTGCTTGAAATGAGCCTCCTCTCTAGCAGGTTTAAACTACCAGAACTGCGGCTATTACAATAACTCTCGGATCAGTTTTGAAGAAGGAAACAATACTGGATTGTGCCAAATCATCAATAACCAAATCCAGCTAATTGAATAATCCACGTACGAATAACGGACCCCAGTTTCCAACATTTTTCAAAATATCTTCTTTTGTGTTCAACAAAAGAAACAGACTTAATTGCAACAAGTGAAGGTTGAGTGAACGATGACAGAAATTTCAGTTTTGAATTAATTTTTTAATTGTTTATTTTATTTATTTATTTTAGAAATTCATATGGGGCATCACAGGTAGCACAATCGCCTCACAGCAAGTATGTCACTGGTTTGAGGCTAGGCTGGGTCAGATGGCATTTCTTTGTAGTTTGCATGTTCTCCCCATGTTCGCTCCTGTCTGCCCCACAGTCCAAACACATACAAATAAGTTAAATTGGCCATAGTGTATGGGTGTTTCCAAGTGTTGGGTTGCAGCTGGAAGGGCATCCGCTGTGTAAAACTGGATGAGTTGGTGGTTCATTCCGCTGTGGTGACCCCTGATTAATAAAGGGACTTAATAAAGCCAAAAAGAAAATGAATGAATAAAATTCACACTGCAGTACAAATATTTGAAATCGGTCAGATTTTATACAATTCGGGAAAGAAAGTTTTATGCCACAGTTGCATTTATGGGTTAAAAGTTAGCCATGTACTTTTTGTGGAAAACTTTTTTTAAATAGAAATACTCCATAACATTATAAATGTCTTTAGGCATGAGACGATAACTGTTTTCAAGGAATACAGCAGTTTGGAAAACTGGTTAACAAGGTTTTCAGGACAACAGTATCTCCAGCAGAAAAATCTCTGAAGATGCTGTTTTAAACTGTAAAGAATCTGTGTTTTTGAAACTTATAAAGACAGCAGAAGTCAATGATTCATTTGAATTGTTTAGCCTGACATGTTTACTGCTCCAAAATATTTTAAATGTTTCTTAGAATAAAATCTATTGTGTTCAAAGGGCGAAAAAAGTTTTTGTTTTTTACTCAGACATTTAAAAAGAATATATTTTAGAGCAGTAATCACAATACCCTGATATTGTGATCATTTTATCCAAGGTTATCATACTGTCAGAATCTAATATCGGCCCATGCCTAAATGTCTTTATTGTCACCACAGTTTAATGAATAAAATACAACTCTTAATTTAGTTAAAGCAGAGCCAAACATTTAAACTTAAGTGTTGAAAACAACACAGTTGCCCAGGCATTGTTCTTCAAGTATTTTAACATTTATTAAACCTGGGTTTGAGCTTTTTAGGTGTCTGGCCAGATTTACATTAAACAGTTGAACATCTCTTTGTAACAAAACCTGTAAATGAGAACAAACAATACTGGCATTATTCCTCATTGGTAGGATTGAAGATAGACCTGCTATAATAACTCACTTCATTCATCCATAGTAAATCCAACAGCATTGAGCATGATGAGTGCACTACTGGTGGCGTGCTGCTCTCAAGGTGGAAACAGGGGAAACGGTGTGTTTTTCAGTAGTGTGAGTCCTGAATGACACCGTTGCCTGTGGCTTTCTCTCGGGACTGTGGGGTTTGAGAGCTGAGGCTGCGCTGGGCTGCGTCTGTGTCTCTGGGTTGTTATTGGCCTGAGTCAATATTGACGTCAAGGGCTGCATCTCTGCCGTCGGCTTCTCTTCTCTCCGATGTCGTCCATCTTGCCGATGATGATGATGATGACGATGGTGCCGGGCATGCTTTCTCTCTCTCTGCTCTCTGCTCTCTCTCTCTGATTGCTTTCTGCAAATGCAAATAATGGAAGCCATGTACATAATAGCCCACATACATTTCAAGTTCAAAGGTATAGTTCTGCCAATAATACACATGAAATAACTGAAAAAAGTTCATTTTCTCATACTACATGCAAGTCAATGGCTACCTGACACTACAATAGTTAAAAAATAAACCAAAATATACAAACACTGGGCACTTTATTAGATCAAACTGATCATTAACACAAATTTCTAATCAGCCAATCACATGGCAGCAACTCAATGCCTTTAGGCATGTAGACATGGTCAAGACGATCTCCTGCAGTTCAAACCAAGCATCAGAATGGGGAAGAAAGATGATTTAAGGGACTTTGAAAGTGGCATCGTTGTTGGTGCCAGACAGGTTGGTCTGAGTATTTCAGAAACTTTTGATCTACTGGGATTTTCACACACAACCATCTCTACAGTTTGCGCTCAGAATTTGGCGTCAACAACATGAAAGAATGGGTCCATCCTGCCTTGTATCAACGGGTTCAGGCAAGTGGTGGTTATGTACCGGTGTGGGGGATATTTTCTTGGCACACTTTGGGCTCAATACCAATTAGGCATTGTGTCTACACCACAGCCTACCTGTGGATTGTTGCTGACCATGTCTATCCCTTTATGACTACAGTGTATGGCTACTTCCAGCATGTCATAAAGTGAATCATTTCAGACTGTACTCTTAAACATGAAAGTGAGTTCACTGTAATCAATTGTCCTCCACAGTCACCAGATCTCAATCCAATAGAGCTCCTTTGGGATGTGGTGGAACCGGAAATTCGCATCATAGATGTGCAGCTGACAAATCTACAGCAACCTCGTGATGCTATCAAGTCAATATGGAGCAAAATCTCTGAGCAATATTTCCAGTACCTTGTTGAATCTATGCCATGAAGGATTAAGGCAGTTTTGAAAGCAAAAGAGGGTCCAACCCGATACTAGTAAGGTGGACCTAATAAAATGGCCGGTTAGGGTATAGGTAAAACAAAATGAATAACCGTGGCTTCTGATAGCTCATTGAGGTCTTATAAACCAAAATTAATCTGTCTGAGATATGATTGTGCTTTTTTGTTAACAAAAGAGAGGGAAGATGCCTTTATAACATTACATTCACTTATTCTCTGACTTTACACCTTTTCAGTGTCTTACGGGCAAGCCCTTTTAACATTTCACTACAAGTGTCTAATTTAACAGGGTTTCTGCAGGAGTTAAATTTAAGACTTTTAAAGACATTTTTAAGACCATTATGACTGACATTTTAGACCCATAAAGCCTTAAAGCCTAAGGAATTTTTCAAATGGCCCAGATGGAAAGGATTTTTATTTGCCCTATCAAAAATGTTTTATTATAATTTAATACATGTAATAATACAATACTACATTAATAATTTAATATATACATATTTTAGATTCAAAATATTTTAAATATTGTGCAAAAACAAGCTAAGAAGGTCGCTGGTTCGAACCTCGGCTCAGTTGGTGTTTCTGTGTGGAGTTTGCATGTTCTCCCTGCCTTCGCGTGGGTTTCCTTCGGGTGCTCCGGTTTCCCCCACAGTCCAAAGACATGTGGTACAGGTGAATTGGGTAGACTAAATTGTCCGTAGTGTATGAGTGGGTGTGTGAATGTGTGTGTGGATGTTTCCCAGAGATGGGTTGCAGCTGGAAGGGCATCCGCTGCGTAAAAACTTGCTGGATAAGTTGGCGGTTCATTCTGCTGTGGCGACCCCGGATATATAAAGGGACTAAGCCGACAAGAAAATGTATGAATGAATAAAAACAAGCTTGTATCCATACACTTTTTTTTCCCAACATAAACTTTCTTTAAAAAAATAAATAAAATAAACAAATTTTTTAAAGGTTTTAAAAACTGTAACAAAGTCAATCTCCATGGAGACCATTTAAAGAAATGTTATTTTAAGCAAAATATTTAACACATTATGATAACTAGAGTTAATAATTTCCTTTTTACATAAAAAGTTTAAAGTTTTTTTTAGATGGATTGTTGAGGATTGTATGGGTTTTGGCCAGATTGTGTAGCAATTTATGAACAAAGGAAAATTAAGACTTGTTTAAAAAAGATTTAAGACCTAAAACACAACATTTCAGTAAATTTAAGACTTTTTAATGCCTAAAATTTGGATTTTGAGAATTAAGACTTTTTAGGACCCAGCAGAAACCCTGAATTTAAGGATAGAGATAGATGCTTTTTCCATTAATTAGATCCTAGATCCTTTAGATCCTAGTACTTTGTTCATTTGATATTGCAAGTGCTTATTCCAGTAGGGACTACTGTTTATTCAAATGTTACTTGTTAAGGCAAATTTGACCTAGCAGTTCTTTTTTAGTTACTTTTTATAATGAAGATATCTTGAGCTAAACAGGTACTGCTACTTTTAAAATTCTCATTTCTGCTCTGTATGCTAATAATATGTTGTTGATTATTAATGAACCAGCAACATATAAGAAACAGTAGACAGGCAGTTCTAGAAGAGTGGCACGAGGTGGCACTAGTCCCTGCAAAAATATGCTTGTGCCTTCTTGTTCATAAGCATCAGCACAATCTCGCAAGATGATGTTTCTCTTCCTCTTGGATTTCATCATCGTGTCCTGACTCTTGTTATATCTTTTGCACATGTTATTATAAAGCTTCGGTGCAAACGCAAATTCTTAAAATACTCTGTCATTCTGTATCATCATTTGTCAATTCGTAATATTCAAATAATATGAATATAGCCATTTAGTTTTAACTGACAGTTCACCCAAAAATAAAACAGTCTTCCTTAATTGAATCCAAACTTTCATGAGTTTCTTTTTTTGAAAAAAGCTAGAAAATCTGTAACCACTGACTTACATGGTAAGAAAAACAGATACTATGGAAGTTAGAGGGTTCCAGGTACTTCAGAATATACTTTTTTTGTTGTTGTTGTTTAGCGGAAAATAGAAATTCAAACATGTTTAGAGCAAGTGAAGGAAGAGTAAATTTTAATTTTAAACATTTATGTTGTGATTCTCAAACAAAGTAAAAGAGAGTCATGTACTAATTACTCAAGTAGCTTTAGTAAGAATTAAATAGGTATGTTATTAAATATGTTTGCTTGGATAAATAAAGAGTGCTTTGTTACTAGGTTATGTTAGTGATTTGCTGGTGAATAAAAAAGAAAGGTATTTTAATATGTCAGAAACATCATACAACTCACAGTCGTGTATCTTAGTAAATGTCATTTGAAAGTTCTCATCAAATAGGTTTCGATATTAAAAAAACTGCTGATGGTAAATTTGACAAGGGTTACAATGCTATAGTACAGTGTTTCTCAGCCATGTTCCCGGAGGACCACCAGCACTGCATGTTTTGGATGTCTCCTTTGTTTGTCACACTCATTACAGCTCTTTCAGTCTCTCCTAATAAGCTGATGATCTGAATCAGGTGTGTTTGGTTGAAGAGATACAATAAATGTGCAGAGCTGGTGGTCCTCAAGGAATGTGGTTGAGAAACACTGCTATAGTACACTACAGTTTACTGTAGTAAAAACAAAAATAATGCACAGTACACATACTGCTGTTACAAAAGTGCTGGAAATACAATAATATATCAAATATAATACGCTTTACTACAGAATGGTTACTACAGAAGTGGTACAACAGAATTTACAATAAATTACTATAGTAATAGAAAATAACTATTTCAAGACAAAGGCTAATAGAACATCTCTCCAATCTCTGTAACATTTCATTTTTTAAATAATCTAGATTTAAAATAAGATTATTTTACTTAGTCTGTTGGCAGATTATTTTGTTTGAATAAAAACTCACTTAAATTTGACTATTTCTGGAAACAAAACAATGTTTTACAAGATATTTTGACTAGAAACAAAAAAATTCTTGGCAGTGTAGTACTTAGGCAAGACAAGGCAAACTTTTTTATAGAGGACACTTTACACAACCCGGGTTGGTAAAAAGTGCTTTACAATAAAATAAAATAAATAAACAAAAACTGGTATAAAAATATAAAGAAATATATATGTAAAAAATAATACTAAATAAAATACAAGAATGAAACAGTTTCTAAAAAATAAGTACAAGCAGAATTAAAAGATTAAATTAGATACAGTACTAGTGCAGTTTTGATTATACAGTTGAAGACAGAATTTTTAGCCCCTTTGAATTTTGTTTTCTTTTTTTCCCAAATGATTTTTAACAGGGCAAGGAAATTTTCACAGTATGTCTGATAATATTTTTCTTCTGGGGAAAGTCTTATTTGTTTTAGTTTTATTAAAGCTGTTTTTATTTTTTAAAAACCATTTTAAGGTCAAAATTATTAGCCCTTTTAAACTATATTTTTTGATAGTCTACAGAACAAACCATCATTATACATTAATGTGACTAATTACCCTAATCTGCCTAGTTAACCTAATTGACCTAGTTTAGACTTTATATGTCACTTTAAGCTATACAGAAGTGTCTTGAAAAATATCTAGTCAATTATTATTAACTGTCATCATGGCAAAGATAAAATGAATCAGTTATTAGAAATTAGTTATTAAAACTATTATGTTTAGAAATGTGTTAAAAAATCTTCTCTCCGTTAAACAGAAATTGAGGGGAAAAATAAACAGGGGGGCTAATAATTCAGGGGGGCTAATGATTCAGGGGGGCTAATAATTCTGACTTCAACTGTATATATATATATATTATCTAATCACATTATTATCTTACAAAACCTCTGCTTATGGTCTTTAGCACATTCACAGCAGTGTGAACCACAAGCTTTCCATCATATAAATAAATGTCGGAAAGCTTGTGGTTCACACTGATGTGAATGTGCTAATGACCATAAGCAGAGGCTGTGTATTAAAGGTACTAATGTAGACCTCAATGTAGACCTCAATGAATCATCAGGAGACAGACAGGTAATTATTTGCATGTATATGTTTTTTTGCTAGTGTTAAGAGTTAGCTGTTCACTTGCATTTATAATCAAGGACCTCAGGATCCACTAAACATCTTCTTTAATGTTCCACTGAGTGTTTTGAGAGTGAGTACTAGACACAATACATCATATAAAACCTGTAAGCAAACTTACTTTTTGATTGCCTCAAATTTAGTCTCTCGGTAAAAGGAGCTCTTGCTCATCATGTAGAGGAGAATCATGTCACAGGCAAAAACCCCCTGTCAAAAAAGGCCAATCATGAAAGTTAAATTATTTATGTGCCTTTTACATGCCAACATTTGTGAGACAACTAGTGACACTATAACTAGCTTCTAAACTCACAGCGCCCATTAATGCAAGTCCAGAGCCAATATTGATCACAGTAGGAATAATACTGAATCTCCCAGCCTAGAAAAAGAGAAAAGGCTTATTTGTTATATTTCACCATGACCTTAATGACAGGAATCTAGAATAGTTTGAACAAAATGTATTATCCCTTACCTTTCCATTTACTAGTATATCAAAGCGAATGCCATACACTTTGAATAGATTCCGATAGGTCTGTCCTGCTGCATCATTGTAGTATCGAGCAAATCTAGATAATGAGAGAGACATGTAAGCCAGTAGAAACTATCAACCAAAACTGTGGTGACCATATTTCAGATTTCATGAAAGAGGACAGTGGGTGCAGGGGGCAGTCAGAATAGGGTTGGTGGGGTGTAAATAAATAAAAAAAAACTATGCTGATTTTTAATACATAAAGTAATAAACTCCATTCCATTCAGCTTTTGACCCCTCTTGGGAAAAAGGAATGTATTTTTTATTAGTTTAGTCTCTTTTTCTTTTCATCAAACAATTATTGGTATTGGTCATGTAAGGGTCATATATTAACAGAACTTCTGCTGTTGTGTGTGGGATGCTGTGCATACTAATTAGCATTTTTGCAGAAGTAGATAAATGTTGGTCCTAAATTGAACTCAGCTCTGCAGAAACTTCCCTTCAGAAGAAAGGTGTTAACACTGAACACAGAAAGTGTTATGCTTTATTGTTGTGCAAAGAGTTCGTAGAAAAAGAGGATTTGGGTGCAGCCAAATGAGGACTGGACAATGATTGACAAATGACGAATTTTAGTAAACTTCACCTGTTAATATCAGCTGCCTATATAAGTTGAAGTCAGGAAATGAAAGTTGTTGCACACCTCCTTAATGCAACTTCTGCAGTGCATTGAGGATAGCAGAATTCTGTAAATCGAATTATTCATTTGTATCCAATAAATAGTTTTTTGACATTGAAGAAAACCCTCTGCTGACCTTTTTTTCTTGAACACGCATGGAATTCGAAAGCAAAATTTAAACACCCCCGACAACAGAATAATGACAAACACCTTATATATTACATTATTATGATTAACACCTTTTATATGACACTGTTTCTCTCAAGGCTATAGGTTAAAGTATGAAAGATTTGAAAAAACACGATAGACGGAGCAGCGTGGCTTGCTATACAATGCTCTTAAAGCTCCAACTAACAAATTGGCATTTATTCAAGGATACTTAGATTGTAAAAGGCTAATAATGAGTTTCTATTTAGAACTGCAAAATATTGAGTCCAATCTAAATGTGGGTTAACCTTTATCTCTAAACTTTTAATACTGTTTAAATAATATGGTGATTAATGTTACTAATAGTTTAAGTAAATTGGTCTGCTTGATTCTGTAGTAATGATGATAGATTAAATAGCTTTTATTTTTCAATTTAATAGCATGTCTATGGGGACCACACAACAAATATTCTAGACTGAGTAAGTAGGGCTCTGCCTTTTTAGAATTGTGGTTAATCTCCTCTATTTAGTGAATAAGACTGACATGCTTGTGTTTAAGAAATTGTATACTCTGCCGATACAAGACTCAGGATAATATAGGAGTCCGAATGAACGAGTGTAATATATGTCAACAAGATTAAATAAAACAATTTATCTGGATTAAATATTACAAGCAGCTTGCCAATGTTTTATGATTTGAGTCAGATAAAAGGAGGATAAACATATTAATATTTAAAAAAATAAAAACTCACTAAATTTAGAGTCAGAAATGAGTTAAATTTAAAGAAATTCACCATTGTGCACTGAAAAGACCAAACACGAAGTGAACCTTCCTCCATCAGTAGACACTGTCGTTTTACTAACTGCTTGGACCTTACAAAATCAATTTTACCAAAAATTATTTAAAAAATTCAGTCAAAAAAAATTTCAGTCCTGCTGATGTTCTCTGGTATACTTTCCTAAAGTATGAATCTTTCCCCCATAGTCCCCGATTACCAATCAAGTAGGCATGAAAGATCTTTTTTGACAATGACACATGTGTATACCAGGTTATGCATTCTGCTTCAAAGAGATGCCGACCAAGACGAAAAGATAGGATTTTCTTGGTAAGTCATCTAGAAATGTACATATGTATTTGTTTTTTTTACATAACTTTCACAATATTCATCAGCTATATGCACTCATTGGCAGGTTAAATCTGCTGCTCTCTCTCTCCTGGCTGTTGCCTTGTGCTGAGGGATTGAAATGCACTGGCCAATGTTAGCATATGTATATTACCGACCAATGGGGCATGCAACAAAGCAAAGTATGCTTGCCCTGTCAAAAGTAATTGCTTTAAAAGAAAAGGCAAGTGATTTAACTGAACCAAGCAGAGACACAACATCATTAGACATTATTATTAAGTTAGATTTAGGTCACCAGCATCTAAGGACAACGTTATTTTGACGTCCAATAATGACGCGAAATGACGTTGATATGTTGTTGATTTTAGGTTGTGTTGGAAAGTGACCAAAATCCAACACAGAATCAACATCTTAAACCAATGTCGACAATACTGACGACAAAAACTAACATTTATTGATCAGGTATGCCAACCAAAATCCAACATCTGATGAACATCATATTGGTATAGTCCAAACAACGTCAAACTGTAACATCATCAGACATTTTAGGATGATTTGTTGTTGTTAGGTTGGTTTGGAATGTAACTAAAATGCAATGTCTGTCTGATGTTGGACATTGACGTTGGCCTGACTTTGGTTTCTGATGTCAACATGATTTTCATTTCCAATCAAAATGTGTTGATGTCTTGTGCCTGCTGAGTAATACCACACAAATAAAGTGATTAAAAATTAGTCAATCATTTTGTGTTCTGATTTAAGTCAATGGAACTTTGCTGAAAAGTTGAAATGTTATTAAAGCAGTGAAATCAATTGCAAAACAATGTTATATACGCTAAAATCAATCAATTAGAGCAGTACCTGAAGTTGTAGCCTGAGGTGACCGAGTGCTGTGAGTTTTCAGAGGAATCTAAGCGTGTGAAACTGTATTCAGGGTTACAGTGAGATTCATCTTTATCCAAATCACAATTCCACTCAATTCCAATTCCAATCGAACCACCCTGTGAGGATAAAAGAAGGAAACATGCAATATCTTATTAACCTTCCAGTTGTGTTCGGGTCAAATCTGACCGATTTACAACTCATAAATATTGTGCTTTACATCTGATTGTCTCAAGGCCTCATGATCTCCTCCACACTGAGCACTTGAAGATATTAAAGTGATGATCAGCCCTTTCATTAAAGTAAGAGTATTTTAATTAACTTTGTTACACATGTGGTGTTCCAAGTGACCGCCTTAGGAAATGAATGGTAGACTATATTCATCCATCAGACAGAAAACATCCCTATACACACCACTCCAACTCACTCGCTCACACACACAGTCACACACACAGTCACACATTTCAGACTGAACAATGTCTTGTGCAGGTACACATCTCTTTTCTGTGCTTATGTGCCGATCTTCCAGCCTGATCTCATGAGGAAACGTAACTATTTTACGTTTTGCATGAAAATGTAAGGTTTTACAAGGAGATGTGGCACCCTGTTTCAGGTGTGTTTAATTGGGGTTGGAACTAAAATATAAAAACCAAGTTTGGGCACCCCTGGATTAGACCATTAGCATCTCGCTCAAAAATGACCAAAGTAAAACTATTGCTAGTTCTGTTTCCATATTTACCGTCTATACCCTCATTCACTATTTTTCTATTTATTACACAAATAAAGTCTAATTGAAGGACTGAATGAAAATTCAAGCACTAAGTACACAGGAAAAGATATCGCTTTGTTTGTGCTTGGCTGGTTGATAAATCATTCACATGGATTCAAATTTCAATTTCTTTGGTCAGACTCTGAGATAGTTATTTTAGTGAGCTGTCTATTGAAACAAAGTATTTTGATTTCTATTTTGATGATCTATTGTTCATTTTGTAATACATTTTCAGTGCCAATTTGTATTTTCACTGCAGTTATGTTATGTCTAATTCTATAAACCCATGTTAAACACCACTTTGAGACATTGTTCACAGCTAAAGAATGTTAAATAAAAATTTGGTGGTTAAAAATGTTTTTTTTTGTACTAATATAAGAGCAGTTAAAACAGACGGGTCAATTTTGACAGGGAACACTAGAGTAAGAGGTGAGATGTGAACACGACAGAAGGGTTAAAATCACCCAAGTCAATACACGAGGCACTGTGATATGCAATTGCACTTGTAGAATTCATCAATCTAGTTAATATATCAAGTTTAAAATATGGTTATGTTTAATGTATAAATAAATAGTGAAATTATTAGTGTCAGTTGACTTTGCCATACAAAGGTTTATATTTTTCAAGCAATTCTAACTGATTCTTCCCATTATTCTTCCAATTTATGTTCTGATATAAAAATACATAAATAATTTTGTGATATATACACAAAATTTCTATATCAAAACATTCAAAAGTATCTGATCTTTGGCTGGTCTTAAAATTTGGAAAAAAAGTCCTTTAATCAACAACAACAAACAGCATTAACAACAACAATTCAGCCAATGCCTGAACTGATCATCAGCAGAGTTTTTTATCCGAAGCCTTTAGGTGTGAGAGAGCGCTAAAGAGAGAGAGAGAGAGAGAGAGAGAATAGGAATTTGCTAAAAACATATTACATATCCACAGAAACACCTCTAACATTGCCTGTAAGGCTGAACTGGGTTTATACCCGCCTAATGTGGAGACTAGAAATGAGCTGTTCAGTTCTGGCTGCATCAGCATCAGTCTCACCCCCAGTCTGTCTAGTATAAAGCTCTTCTGAAAAAAACAACAGTGCCCCATCCTCTAAACACATTCGTATCTAAACTACTGAAGAAAACTAAAACCGAACCCGTCCCCAAACAAAACCTTCACAAACATATTGATAAAACATTAATTCATTCATTTTCTTTTCGGCTTAGTCCCTTTATTAATCAGGGGTCGCCACATCGGATTGAACCGCCAACTTATCCAGCATATGTTTTACGCAGCGAATATCTTTCTGTGTGGAGTTTGCATGTTCTCTCTGTGTTTGCATGGGTTTCCTCAAGGTGCTCCGGTTTCCCCCACAGTCCAAAGACATGTGGTACAGGTGATGGGTTGCGACTGGAAGGGCATCCACTGCGTAAAACATATGCTGGATAAATTGACGGTTTATTGCGCTGGGGCGACCCCGGATTGGTAAAGGGACTAAGCCAAAAAGACAATGAAGGAATGAATGACTCAGAAAAACTTTACCATGTACTCGGAGAACTGATGTCTAAACTAGCTGCAAAATATGTATACACCCTACACACCATAAAAAACAGGTAATGTAAATTCATGTGTCTTATTTAAATAATCCAAACTTTCTTTTATTATTATTATTATTGTTGTTGTTGTTGTAATTGTTATAATTATCAAATGTTCTATGTTTTTTTTTTCTTTTTCTTTGTCATTTACTTCTTATTTACTCTATATTTTTTATTTTATGACGTAATATATTACATATCTTATACATATCGTCCCCTTGGAACTATAAGGTTCTATCTGCGTTCTAAATGATTTTGAGATATTGAGTTTCAAAGTTTTTGCATTCCATAGCAAAAAGTATATGTGGAACATTTGTTTTGTTTAAATAAAAAGTCTTAAAATGTAAACAACTTTTAAAAAAAATCACAAAATGTAAATAAGTTGTCATTTAATAAGAATTTGTCAATAACTCAATTTTGACAAAAATGTCAGATAGAACCTTATAATTCTAAGGTGACGATATTAAAAATGCTTTGGCAATACTGTACTAAAGGCCATGCCAATAAAGAAACTTGAACTTTAAACTTGAGAGAGAGAAAGAGAGAGAGATATCCCATTTGTAACTGATATTTAAATGTGGCTAACTTGTCTAAATAATTGAAGGTGCCTGGATCAACATTTTGATCATATTTACAAAAAGGCACACTTTAAATTTATTTTTACGTTTGTTAATACACAGCTACTTCTTAAACATCATCTGCCAGTGTGTTTACCATGGTGGAAACTTGTCTGTTTTAACTTGTCATGTAATTTTATCAACTTGCCCTTGTTGCCAAATCCTGGAAAGTGTATCCAGTCCAGTTAATTACATCTCCCACAAGAAAGATGGGACAGTAGGGATGATGGTCCTTGTCGTATCGGCATGTCTTCAGATATGTGCTGTTGGTGATAGGCAGGACATTTGATCTTCAAGGGGGAGAAAGAAAAGTGGCAGAAGGATTATGTGTAGGAGCTCATAGAATTTGTCGATATACTATGTGATGACATTGTGGAGATCATGAAGCATCATAAGATCATGTATAGAGGAACAACTGTCACCGTGCTGTAAGTCTCAGTGTACGCAGCGCATGTTGTGTGTCGGTATAAATAGAGATGAGTAAGCGTCAGATATTTAGAGCAGCTTGTGCTGTGCCATCAGTATCCAAACATAACACTTTACAGTCTGCAAGCAGGTCTACTCTTTCAAATGTTTTATATAGCATCAGGTTTAAATGGGTCAATGGGGAATTACTCTATATCTCTTAATATATATCTCCTCTCTCCAGAGGAGAAATGGTCATGCCCATATGAGCCTGGTTTCTCTCAAGTTTTTTTACCTTCACTTTCATTAATTGGTGAAGTTTGTTCCTCTCCACTGGCTTGCTTTGGGTCTTGTGGAGCTGTGCGTGGACGAATTTGCTCTTCAGTGTTTGAACTTTCAGCAGTGAAATTTAAACCACACTGAACTGAACTAAACTCTGACAAAGTTTCAATGTATTATAACTTCTATGTAAGCTGCTTTGACACAATCTACATAGTAAAAGTGCTATAGAAGTAAAAATCAACTGAACTGAATTGTAAATTGAATTAAAAAGAAAAAACAAGACAGCATCGTAGTGCTCAGTTTGGACTGGGCAATGTGCTAATTTAAAAGTATTGTGCTTTTTTTATATATTATCCATAACATAAGTCACAACAAGTCACAATTGCATTCTTGAGAGATAAAAGCACAGACCAATCACGCATATAATTCAATCGTTAAATATTGTTTTCTTTATATGCATTCAGTCGCTACTCAGAAAACTAGATTGTGTTTATCATGCAGCAATACGCTTCGTCACAGGCGCAGACTCACGGACGCATCACTGTATTTTGTATGATTCCTTAGACTGGATATCTTTTTATCAAAGAAGAAAATTGCATCTTGTTTATTTTAAATGCTCTCTTAGTTAAATTACCATCATATCTTTCTAATTTGTTAACATTTGACATAAATAACCAACACACTAGATCTGGTTCCTGTATTCGTTTAACAGCCCCAAGGGTATTGTCAGAACTTGGCAAATGTGCTATTTCCCTATGCTCCCAGGGCTTGGAATGCAAAATCAGCTCAAACCTAACACTTCCGACTCTGAGTACTTTTAAACATCTTCTGTACAGCATCTTAAAGGATACTTGAACATGTTTTTAATGATCTGATATTTTTAAAAATGGTGATTTTGTAATTTTCTGGTATTGCTTTAGTGATTTTATGTGAAACTTTATGTGCTGCCTGCCATCTTGATCAGGTGTAACTGGAAGAAGAAACACTACTACCTCAATGTGATCTCTTGGCTAAATAAAGGAAATAAAAAATAGTCAAATAAGGTATCAGCTATAGTGGCACGATATTGAAAAAATACTACTTTGCGATATTTTGTATTTCTGTGATATTTATTGCAATACGAATGCAATCATTTCACCAGATGACTTGAATAGCTCAATTTGTAAAGAACACATAATTGGATATTGATTAGGATGACTTCATAGCCCAAATAATAGGCATACATTTATTTAAATTGTTTGGTGTATCTAACTGTATTTAAGTATAAGTTGAATAATCAATTTTCAGCAAATGAAAGTGCATAGTCTTCACTGCATTGCATGTGAAATGCAATGGATTTTCTTCATTAAAATTTCTTGTAAAAAAATTAAAGGCCTTAAAAACAAAGCAAACAAGCACTCTATTAAGATTAAACTTTACAAACACTTAACAATATGGTTCCTAGTCAACAATAATTTCACTCAAATTTCTTGAGGGATGAATAAACTGAAGCTGAACTTGATATTGAGGGTCGTGCGATGTGACTATTGTGAATGATCACACTGCCATATCGATGCTAAACAATATATTGTGCAGCCCTACTATCAATATCTATCTCAATATATATATTTTTGTCCCTCTCATTCCATAACAAATCCTTCAAATCTAATAAAATCAAATTTTCTAATGTTTAAAAAAAAAATTTTGCTTTTTTAGTTTGACAGCAATGGCAAAAATATGCATAGTCTCTCTAAGCATTATTAGTATGCTTCAAATTAAAAATGAAAGCAGGAGCACAAAAACAAAACTCCCAACTCGATATTCTGTTTCAGATGAAAGTACATCAAATAAAATCTGCAGCAACTTACAGTTTACAGATTCAGAAAAAAACTGAATATAAGACAAAAACATATAACTAAGGGTTATATGAGTAGCTTTCCCGATTAACAATATTTGTTATAAATAAATATATAACTATATATATATAACTGTTATAAATATATAAATAAATATATATATATATATATATATATATATATATATATATATATATATATATATATATATATATATATATATATAAATATATAACTGTTATAAATATATAACACCTAAACAAATGAATGCAAGTGATATATGCTGTGCAAATAGTCATGTGCCGCCCTCACTCACTTAAAGAGTTATTCAATAAAACTGATAATTCTGTCATAATTTACTCAACCTTCAGTCAGTTTCTTTCTTCTGTTAAAAATGTAAACATTTTAGATACCCTTAACCATTGATATGAATAGTATTTGTTTTTCCAAACATGGAAGTGAATGGATACCAGTTTCTTTAAAATGAATTTATTTGTGTTTAACAAAAAAAATAATTTTAGAAAAGTTCAAATCACTTGAGGGCCGGCAAATGATTGCATTTAGATTATCATTTTTTGGAATATTTTGCTTGTTTAATGTATCTGGCAATAAAAAAGTCACTCTGGCTTCCAGCACATTTGAAAATTCATTCATTCATTCATTTTCTTTTCGGCTTAGTCCCTTTATTAATCTGGGGTCGCCACAGCAGAATGAACCGCCAACTTATTCAGCATATGCTTTACGCAGCGGATAAAGCATAACCGTTTACACTGCAGTCACATTGCAAAACATCAGATCAGTATCAGACTTAATAGCACATATGAAAGTGGCACAAATCGGTTTGGGCTGTTCACATTATCATGATAGAATCAGATCTGAGTTACATGTGAGCAAAAAATACTGACTTTGGACACATTTGCCTGCAGTGTGAATGTAGCCTAATGTCTTACAATGTGGCCACCGTGTGAACGGTTTTGCAGGAATTCTTATAATTTTTATAATGGTTTGAATTGACAAACGTTATTCTATCTTTGAAATTGGCAATAATTAAACATAAACTGATAATGTGCTTCATATCAGTATGCACTTTTTGTACATAATCAGACGTTTTATGTCTGTCTATAGCTGTACTTTTTTCACTCAGGAAATTTGATATTGGCCATATTTGAAACAACTGTGTGAACAGCTATGCAATAAAGATCAGATTTGAGAAATAAATCTGATTTGAGCAGAAGCCTCGCAGTGTGAATGTAGCCTATGAGTAGGCCCACACGGAATCTGCGCGCGCAGAATTTCGCAGATTTTTCGCAAATTTTCCGCAAAATTCCGCAGATTTCTGCAGATTTTTAGCCCATTATTAATTCTGTTTATTTACTTGAGTAAATGTGTACATCTGAATTCATTCAGTTTTTATTCAATAATTTATTACTTTTTATTTAATATATTAAGGTTTTAGTTATGATACTCCGCTGGATACTCCCAAAATAATTTCGCAGAAATCCGCAGATTTTTACCAAAATTCTGCGCAGAAATAGCAAAAAACGTCAGCAGATTCAGTCTGGCCCTACCGATGAGTTAAGACTAAAGCTACATCGTTCTTTCCAGTTATTCAGGCAGTCTTTTCAATGAACAAGATACAATTGCCAGATATGATCTACAGTTTTTATGAAAAAGGGCATTAGCAGCAGTATCCTGGTGGCAATGAGATTTGTATGCATGTTATTGTTGCTCCACCTTAAACTCTGATGGTGTTTTGCAAAGGAAATAAGATGCAAAGTACTTTACTCCAGAAGATCTTTTTGAAAAGCTTTAAAATACTATTGCAGGTTAGTGACATTCACAGATGTGCATGATCTAAAAACCATTAAGGTTCAATCTTAAAATGGTTAAACTGTCCCTAAATGTTCCCATTTTTTCACTCTTTCTGCAGAGTAATGCATTCTTTCATAACTATAAATAATGTTATGGATATTTTCTTATGATAGACATTTTAAGAATGTTTATTACAAATAAAGTGCTCAAATGGTTATAGTCTTTTCCATCAGAGACCTCTTTCAAACTGTGCTTGTGTACTTCCTAATGCAGTAGAATTACAAGAGGAATTCAATGATTGATTTATGTAAATTAATTATTGACTGCTGCTTTATATCTTTGACATTTTAAGCAGGTTGGGCACAAATAAAGTCTTCAAATGGCCCTTAAACAAACTGGTGGGTTATCGATGCTTCAGTTTAGTCAGAGGCCAGTGAGCTGAGTTTTCAAGAGTTTGCATTTAGATATTGCTTGATAATATTAGCAGGTTTGGCATGCTGTCCTGGGAGAGAACCCTAAGCTCGGTGATAATTGAGCCCAGGGCCCCTGCCGGGTTGATGAGCATGTAAGGGGGTATGAGATTAGGTAGTTCTTGAGAGCTCCCCCTGGTAATGGAGGAAAGGAGGGAGATGGGGTGGATGAGGGGATTCTTCGCAAAATGAAGATAAGGGAGTAATGTCTAGACAAGCTATTTTAATGAGTTTGGATTAATCCAATTAGTTTACTAATGATTACGAATGCGGCAATGCAGTGGCACAGTAGGTAGTGCTGTCGCCTCACAGCAAGAAGGTCGCTGGTTCGAACCTTGGCTCAGTTGGCATATTTGTGTGGAGTTTGCATGTTCTCCCTGCGTTCGTGTGGGTTTCCTCCGGGTTCTCCGGTTTCCCCCACAGTCCAAAGACATGCGGTACAGGTGAATTGGGTAGGCTAAATTGTCCGTATGTGAGTGTGAATGAGTGTGTGTGGATGTTTCCCAGAGATGGGTTGCAGCTGGAAGGGCATTCGCTGTGTAAAAATGTGCTGGATTAGTTGGCGGTTAATTCCGCTGTGGTGACCCCGGATTAATAAAGGGACTAAGCTGAAAATGAATGAATGAATGAATGATTACGGATTGGAGACCAGCCATGATCAGTCATATCACGTGCTCCTCTCGAAATTAGTTTGTGAAACTTTACTTAATGAGTTCACTTTCACTTTCTCTGCAGCACCATATATGAATATAATCTTAGACCTCTTCTTTTACGCATTGGGCACACTTGACATGTTAATCACATCCTCTCAGAATAGCTGTCATGGGGTGGTTTTCAAAAGGTACACATTTGTCGCTAAGGTTCACATAGTAACTCAAAGATACATATTAGAAGGCCTACCTAAACATTTTAAAAGGTACGCTTTTGTATTTTTTTTTAAATACTGCTGTTTGAGGTATCAAATGGGGTAATACAAATAGTTCCATTATGAGGTACCAATCCTGTGACAGCTACTCTGAGTGTGGGACGAGCCTGTGTATTGTGCCCAATGTGCAAAAGAAGAGGTCCATAAGAGTATAAAAGTAAATATATGACACCACAGAGAAAGTGAAATTGAACGTGTTTAACTCGAAGTTCGCTGGCTGCTCACTGCAGCTGATGCGTCTGTATCCCACCAATCATTTGGAGACCTTATTTGGGATAAACTTGTTCAAATATTAGTGATGTAAACCAATAATCCTCAGAAATCCTATAATTAATAACATATATGTAATTCCTCAGAAAAACAGCATGAAGGGATGCATCAAACCAAAGATAAAAACATTAATAAAACATCAGTTGTGTTAATTAATTGGACATTATGCACTTATCTAGAATATTACAACTAAAAACATTGTTAAATGAAAAAATAAGTTAAAACCAAAGCTCAGATCTGATTCAAAAGCAAACAGCACTGCTTTTAGAAAATCATTCATTTCATTCATTTTCCTTCCGCTTAGTCTCTATGTCAGATGTTGCCACAGCGGAATGAACCGCCAACTATTCCAGCATATGTTTAATGCAACAAATGCTTTTACAGTCGCAACCCAGTACTGGGAAACACCTGTACACACTCATTCAATACGGGCAACTTAGTACATTCAATTCACCAATAGTGCATGTCTTTGAACTGTGGGGGAAACCAGAGCACCCAGAACATGCAAACTCCACACAGAAATGCAAACTGGTGCAGCCAGGACTCGAACCAGCAACCTTCCTGCTGTAAGGCGACAGTGCTAACCACTGTACCACCCTTTTAAAAATCAATGCAGAACCAATTTCTCTAAGTAATTTTCACCAAGAGCGAAGCAGTGGCGCAGTAGGTAGTGCTGTCGCCTCACAGCAAAAAGGTCGCTGGGTCACTGGTTCGAACCACTGCTCAGTTGGTGTTTCTGTGTGGAGTTTACATGTTCTCCCTGCGTCCTCGTGGGTTTCCTCCGGGTGCTTTGGTTTCCCCCACAGTCCAAAGATGTGGTACAGGTGAATTGGGTTAGCTAAATTGTCTGTAGTGTATGTATATGTGTGTATGTGTGTATGTTTCCCAGAGATGGGTTGCGGCTGGAAGGGCATCAGCTGCGTAAAAAACGTGCTGGATAAGTTGGTGGTTCATTCCGCTGTGGGGACTCGGGATTAATAAAGGGACTAAGCTGAAAATGAATGAATATATAAATGAATTTTCACCAAAGCTGTATTATTTAGTGATAGAGCATTTATTCTGTAGGGTCTTATACTAAAATATACACATAGACGAGTTGCCCCAAGGACTGACTTACTTGAAGAAGCCGAACTTTGGAAACTTGATGAAGTTCTTTACATAGACTGTGAAGTTTTCAGCCTTTGCCAGCATAGGCTCCCTGTTGTAACATTAGACACGTTACAGGTACAACATGTTTCATGCAAGCATAAACACAGATCACTGAAAGCACATAAGAGTTTTCTTACACTGGTGCGTGGCCATGCTCAACAGGGCACCAGGCATTAATCTCACATGTCCCTGTGTCATTCAGACAGCGGCCTGTCTTCACTCCTGAACAAACAACAGTGCACTGAAGTCCCTTTAAGGCTAGGAATTTTAAACATACCAGTGGGCAGTAGAATAAACCAATGTGGCCTTTTTTATGAAAAACACTTACGCTTTCTTAAACTTGATGGATGTAGAAACAAAATCTTTTCATGCTTACCGTGTCCTGCTAAGACAGATTCCCCTTCCACACATTCGTTGTCATTTGTACAAAAACCGTCTGGCACTTTAGGACTCTGAAATAAGTATAAACATACAAACATATATAAGATTTTAAAATTCACAGACATCAAAGTTAATCAATTTTATAAATTAATAAAACCTTTTAATAAAAAGACTAGCTTATCTTTCCTATTAATGTGTTGAGTGCATAATTTGTGTAGGATATAAATACAATCAAATGAAATTAAAAACAACTACCTGACTCTTACCTCAGGACAGTAACCTAATCTTTGGTTTGGTGTCACTAGGTAGTTTGTCACTACAAAGAAGACTCTGTCCCCCTGTTAAGGACATATATGAAAGACATTTTCACACTTAAGTTATAAATCCAGATACTTTATGTCTAATATGACACTAACTTTAACATTTCTTCACATAACCAACATATCAACGTAAGGCTCTTGTAAATTGTTGTATTTTCTATGTTTATTTGATAAGCTCTTATAAAAATTAGTCTAACAGAGAACATCCTGTGGTATATTCAATCCAGCTCATACCAGCATCTTTTGTGGTCAAAGCTTCAATGCAAATAATGAATATGCTGAACATTGAATGACTCAAAATGTTCCTATAAAACACAGTTTTGCGAAAATTCATACAGTTGAAGTCAGAATTATTAGCTCCACCTTTAATTTAATTTTATTTTTTCGATTATTTCCCAAATGATGTTTAACAGAGCAAGGACATTTTCACAGTATGTCTGATAATATTTTTTCTTCTAGAGAAAGTCTTACATGTTTTATTTCGGCTAAAATAAAAGCAGTTTTAATTTTTTTTCAAATACATATTTAGGTCAATATTATTAGCCCCTTTAAGATTTTTTCTGATAGTCTACAGAACCAACCATTGATATACAATAACTTCCCTATTACCCTAACCTGCCTAGTTAACCTAATTAACCTAGTTAAGCCTTTAAATGTCACTTTAAGTTGTATAGAAGTGTCTTCAAAAACATCTAGCCAAATATTATTTACTGTCATCATGGCAAAGATAAAATAAATCAGTTATTAGAAATGAGTTATTAAAACTATTATGTTTAGAAATGGTTGAAAAATCTGCACTCTTTTAAACAGAAATTGGGGGAAAAAATGAACAGAGGGGCTAATAATTCTGGGGGTCTAATTAATTCTGACTTCAACTGTAAGTGTGCTTAAAGGAAAGGGTGTGTGACTGATTGTTATTTTTCTAAATGGTTGAAACTCCAAACATTAAAGATTTTAAAAACATACTTGAATATCTATTTAACAGCTATTCAGAAGCATAAATATATTTAAGACATTCAGCTGTTCTTTTAAACAATCATCAATAATGTAAACATAAATACATGGAAATAGATAGTAGGGAAGAGCGGAAAACAGAGTAACACTTTTTGGTTGTGGCCAAATAATTAACAAAGTAATGGGGTTAGACAAATCATACTTTTTAGCCTCTCCTACATATGAGCACTGAAAGTATGATCACTGGACCTATGCAGTATTGCCAAAATTGCCAGGAGTAAAAATGTTACTATTTACCCGACCTGCGGGGCAAGTTGTAACTGACAGAGGGTTAGATGAAACACATGCTTATAAAGGCAGATTTCACACCATTAATTTAAATTCAGTTTACTTTAAACACTATATTTTCTCAGTACTTAACTCTCTTTCTACATTGCACAGCATGTTTACTTGCTAGTCTACACAACTGGACTTTTTCATTTTTATACAGTGCATTTATTTGCATTATTACATTATTACAATTTATTTTTTCTATTAAAATATTTTCTATAAAAAAAAAAATTGTATAAAAAGTTATCAAAATTCAACAATGATTTTGTTAGTTTAATTGGTGTCCAACAGTGTTTAGTAACACCCTGTTACAACTAATCCTGCTGTGTCGTGTTTCCCTCAAAACTGTGTTTTACATCTTTCAAAATGGGTCCATGTTTTATTTTCAACAATATAAGACTTTATTAACATACTTTCACAGAGTATAAAAAAATACTTGTATGTTGAAAAAATGGTTTCTTCTGTGTTTCTCATTCAAATTTCACCAAACTTTTTCAATAATAGGCAAAAAAAGACATCTGCCAACACTGTGGGGAAAACCTTTTCAAGCTTTCAATGGTTAATCTTGAGCAAATACCTTAAAACTTGAGGTTACATTTTGCCCCACGTAACATGTGCCTCACGCTCCCCATGATATGACAAACAGATCAGTGTTCAGCAAAAGATGTGCATGTCTGTATGTCCTTAAACTAGCTCAAGCCTTTTTTCAAATACATTTCTTAGAGAATACAGAGGGATGCATTTACTTGTGGAGGAATTACATAGTCCTCTGCGCCCCATAGCTGCAAACCAAACTGAGAGCTGTTGGTGAGATCCACACCCTTAAGTTTGGTGATCACAGAACTTTGGATGGCTTCCTCAGTCTCCTGGTATCCTTTCTTCCAAATGAAAACCCACCTTTAAGATGTCAACAGAATACAGTAAAAAGAGAGATGAAAAACTTAATCATGCTTAATAAATCATGCTTATTGAGGGTGCAAGAGACAGTATTCTGTGTGACATACATGGCCATGAGGAACGTTATAACATAGCAACACGCTCACAGGAACTAAGGTTGTATATTGTAAAGAATTAAGCAAATTGGAGGGTACCTATTTATGAATGCTGGCTGGTGCTTTCGTGTGTAGCATTTGGCCACAGCACGTCATTCAGGTCATTTCAGCACCTTTTACGGAACGTCGTGTATATAAACTCAAAACACCATGTGGAAAAAAAATAAGCTGAAGCAAAAAAACATTTCACCTAACTCTGCTTATCTGCATCTACTAGCAATTAATAGTCTAAATAAGAACAACATCTTTTTCTTAATATGCAAAACTTAACAAGAACGAGCAGGTCAAACTTGCAGGGACACCGCAATGGTTTTAGTCTTTCCCTTGATATAAATAACATGACAGGCTCGGTGCTGTCAGTTAATAAACAGTTCACTGTCGGTTTACATTCGGTTTGTTGAAATTCATATTCTGCGACCCTTTTGAACGCAATAGTCTACATTCAGTGCACATTTGTGACTTCACTTTTAAAGATTTCAGCTTTTAAAACCCCCGACAGATACCGTTCGTTCACCTTAACGTCTAGATTCAGAGAAGCACAAGGCACCTACCCGATCAGATATCCGATCACCGTCAGCTGAAAGAGTCTAAACAGAACTCCGACCTTTTTGTTTTTAGCGATGACAAATTTCTCAGTCTTGTAATCGAGTAGAGAGAAGAAAAAGTTACCCCAGGTCTGAGCCATGCTCCTGTGTCAATGACAGCCTGGAAGCAGCTGTCAACTACTCTGCGCCGGTGGTGCTGCAGCTTGGTCTTCCCCTGTCTGCAAAACCATTTCATTTCTCCGCTTTCTGCTTTTGTTCCGGAACTCTTTCTTTATTTTGTCAATATTCTTATCATTGATCTTTTGCGAGCAGTAGCTTAAATAAGGCCTTATACGCGCCCGAAGCAAATTGACAGGGAGAAATTACGCGGTAGGAACAGGAGAGCCATTTTTAAACAATGTTTTTACAGCAGGTTAATCTAGCTTCATGACTTTGTCAATCTAAACTAATGATATATCTGTATTTCAAATTATATGAATTAATAATAAATAATAGACCTTTGTTTTCATAAGGAATAATACACATGTTGGCATTTTAAATTATATAAATTAGTATTAAACAATAATAGACTTATGTAGCCTATACGGAATATGAATAAATACTTAATGAATTAACATTAGAATAATAAAGTATAATAGCTCAAAAAGTGTAAATATATATATATATATATATATATATATATATATATATATATATATATATATATATATATATATATATATATATAAATAAGCCTACTGCAAAGTGTTTTACCACATGTTCAGTGGTTGCACGTTTCTCGTGACCTTTCAGGATACGCATTTATTTTTAGAATTTATTTTATGAAAATAGCTGAGGAGACCTACATTTTGCAAGAAAGCACAGAATGAATGTAAAGCAACACGTTAAACGAAAAGATAATTTTGATAAGATTTTTCATTAGAAACTGAAACGAGTCAACAACAATCTTTAACATGATGGTTTGAAAACCTCAATAATGCTATATAACAGTTTTCCATTGGTTAATGACCATTTCCCAATTTGTTCTTCACTTTACAGTAACTGCAAAATTAGCAATTAAGTAAATAAACTAATTGCATAAGCACTTGTGCAAACCTGTTAAAAACCTTAGTTTACTAAAAACAACAGAATTCATTGCCATCAAGTGTTAGCGATTTTTAGCCATTTTCTGTGTTCATACAACACAATAAAGAGAACCACCAAAGTTCAGCAGCTGCTATAACATTTTAAAGCAGTAAGCAGAAAAATTCCCATCTATAAATATACATGAATAAACACTTTAAAAGCCCAGAAAGACAAGACACCTAAAATTTGGAAAGCTACTTGCATATTCTAATTATGCTTCTTACAGCATAATGAAATACTTCTCATTTCGCATCTTATTTTCATTACCTTGTTTTTTTTATTTACCGGGCATGCAAAACCACAATGAAAAATAGAACAATGTTGTATTTCAATGCTTTTATTTTGACAGCTGAGATAAAAAAAAACTAATGAAAGAACATGGTAATACGAATGTAGTTGGATTTAGCAACACAATATGAATAAAATAATGGGAAAAAGTGGTGAGTGCATAAGCAGGGGATACTGAGAATTTAATGTCCATCCCTAAGACTGTCGGTTCTAATCTGAGCCTCCTCGGAGACGCAGCACAAGGTGCAAAGTAGACTCTTTCTGGATGTTGTAATCAGACAAGGTGCGGCCATCTTCTAGCTGTTTACCAGCAAAGATCAACCTCTGCTGGTCAGGGGGAATGCCTTCTTTGTCCTGGATTTTGGCCTTGACATTCTCAATGGTGTCGCTTGGCTCTACCTCAAGGGTGATGGTCTTTCCTGTCAAGGTCTTGACGAAGATCTGCATGCCTCCCCTGAGACGCAGCACCAGATGCAAGGTGGACTCTTTCTGGATGTTGTAGTCAGACAGGGTGCGGCCATCTTCTAGCTGTTTACCAGCAAAGATCAACCTCTGCTGGTCAGGGGGAATGCCTTCTTTGTCTTGGATTTTGGCCTTGACGTTCTCAATGGTGTCACTTGGCTCGACCTCAAGGGTGATGGTCTTTCCTGTCAAGGTTTTAACGAAAATCTGCATGCCTCCCCTGAGACGCAACACCAGATGCAAGGTGGACTCTTTCTGGATGTTGTAGTCGGACAGGGTGCGTCCATCTTCTAGCTGTTTTCCAGCAAAGATCAACCTCTGCTGGTCAGGGGGAATGCCTTCTTTGTCCTGGATTTTGGCCTTGACGTTCTCAATGGTGTCACTTGGCTCTACCTCGAGAGTTATGGTCTTTCCTGTCAATGTCTTAACGAAGATCTGCATGCCTCCCCTGAGACGCAGCACCAGATGCAAGGTGGACTCTTTCTGGATGTTGTAGTCAGATAGGGTGCGGCCATCTTCTAGCTGTTTGCCAGCAAAGATCAACCTCTGCTGGTCAGGGGGAATGCCTTCTTTGTCTTGGATTTTGGCCTTGACATTCTCAATGGTGTCGCTTGGCTCTACCTCGAGGGTGATGGTCTTTCCTGTCAAGGTTTTTACAAAGATCTGCATGCCTCCTCTAAGACGCAGCACCAGATGCAAGGTGGACTCTTTCTGGATGTTGTAGTCGGACAGGGTGCGGCCATCTTCTAGCTGTTTGCCAGCAAAGATCAACCTCTGCTGGTCAGGGGGAATGCCTTCTTTGTCCTGGATTTTGGCCTTGACATTCTCAATGGTGTCGCTTGGCTCTACCTCGAGGGTGATGGTCTTTCCTGTCAAGGTCTTGACGAAGATCTGCATGCCTCCCCTAAGACGCAGCACCAGATGCAATGTGGACTCTTTCTGGATGTTGTAGTCGGACAGGGTGCGGCCATCTTCTAACTGTTTTCCAGCAAAGATCAACCTCTGCTGGTCAGGGGGAATGCCTTCTTTGTCTTGGATTTTGGCCTTGACGTTCTCAATGGTGTCGCTTGGCTCTACCTCGAGGGTGATGGTCTTTCCTGTCAAGGTTTTTACAAAGATCTGCATGCCTCCTCTAAGACGCAGCACCAGATGCAAGGTGGACTCTTTCTGGATGTTGTAGTCGGACAGGGTGCGTCCATCTTCTAGCTGTTTGCCAGCAAAGATCAACCTCTGCTGGTCAGGGGGAATGCCTTCTTTGTCCTGGATTTTGGCCTTGACATTCTCAATGGTGTCGCTTGGCTCTACCTCGAGGGTGATGGTCTTTCCTGTCAAGGTTTTTACAAAGATCTGCATGCCTCCTCTAAGACGCAGCACCAGATGCAAGGTGGACTCTTTCTGGATGTTGTAGTCGGACAGGGTGCGGCCATCTTCTAGCTGTTTGCCAGCAAAGATCAACCTCTGCTGGTCAGGGGGAATGCCTTCTTTGTCTTGGATTTTGGCCTTGACGTTCTCAATGGTGTCACTTGGCTCTACCTCGAGGGTGATGGTTTTACCAGTAAGGGTTTTGACAAAGATCTGCATCTGTAAACAAATTCAAAGTAAGATTAGCAATCACACATTTCCATTTAAAAAATACTACAATGTTCTAGCCAATAATGTATGTTTTGCACTTCTCCCATGTTAAACGAGATAGTTCACCCGAAAATGAAATTTTACTTTGCATTTGGTCACCCTTAAATGTTACAAACCTTTAAAATAATAGAAAACTATTGACTATACTTGTAGAGAAAAATAAATACTATCCAAAACAATGGCTGACAGTGGACTATAGAATGCATTTTACCTGCAGCAAAATTGTCCAAATGATCCTATATGAAAATTTAGGGTCTTACCTAGTGAAATGATAGCTCATTTTGCACAAGCTCTGAGATTTGGCTTTGTGCATCATGAAATCTAATTATGTCATGCATTTCCAAAGCATTGGCCATTTTAAACAAACTGCACATCTGTGCAGTTTACATTGTTTTAAAATAAAAAATAAAAAATTAAGAAATAAAGAATAATAATGTTCCACAACATTACATTAGGTAGCAGATTGGCAGAGAACCAAAGGGTGGGGCCAGTAAGGAAGGACTTCTACACAGTAAGGAAACGCTGAAATTCAACTTAATCACTCAGTCATTTAAAAATAAATACTTTTATTTTTTTTATTTTTAAAGGTCTAATGGTTTCATTAGATAAGACTGTTATTCCTTGACTGGGATCATTTAGAACCATTTGAAGCCACATATTGCATTTTGGAATTTTAAACTAACAAGCTCCACAATATAGAGAAAAAAATCTTGAAACTTTTTCAAAAACAATTTCTTCATTAATGATGAAAAAAAGGGATCATGGATGAAAAAAGGCTAAGTAAATTTTGATTTGGGAAGTGAACTAATCCTTTAAGACATACCAGAATTCAATAAGATGGGAATAGTTTGTAATGGAAGCAGGTGAAGATTTAATAATCTTACATCAAACAATATAGTTTTCTTCCTGAAGCATGATCAATCGACCATATTAGTGGCACAGGCTATCAACAATGCCAATGAACCAAAATTATTATTGCAATAAGTGTCATGATTTTGGCTGTACCAATTAGTTAGACTGTGGGGAAACATTTGGAGTACTATAGACTGCCAAATATTATAGAGAAGAAAAAAAAACTGTTGGAGGAACAAAAAGGTATTTGTGGTTGGCTAAACTGAACTAGGATTTTTAGAGCAACAACGTTTATATTTTTTCTTATTTCCGATCAAGTAAGAAAAATATCAAGCATATTACTTAATAGACAGCCTTTATTTAATTCAATTTGTAAAAATATTGCACCCTTTACTGTTTAAAAAAGTCCTTCTCGTAGCTTACAGAGCATACATAGACAGAACAGCATACTCAGTAGTCTATTAACATGTAACGTTACTGTTATTACAACTGAGTATCGCCAGTATGCTGCATCAACTAGCCAATTCTTGACATAAAACATCTACAATGTACATCTCTTACATTTGTTTCATGACACTAGAAAACATCTTAATTTTCTCCAGTTCAGTGCATTGTAATCATGGATTATTTTGATATATTAAATTAATTGGATATTTCCTCATTTTAACATTTCCTCATTTCTCAACATGACAAACTAAAAGTAAGGCAAAATTATTTTTAAAATGATTAAGTTATAACTCTCTGTAACATGGCGGCTGTACTGTATGTAACATCCGGGTTCTTTGTTCACAAACTATGATTCAGCAAAAAAAATA